TTCGATTTGCGTTATTCGAACACATCCGCTGCCACCAATGTAGAATACCCGAGCCCTAATAGGAAGAATACCGGTACAACAGAACAGACTTTATTGACCAATCAGAAGCCAGAGCCACGTGTCAGGCGCCTTCCATCCGAGTCCACCACGCTGGCCACGCCGCTCATTATATACTGCACCTCAGTCGTGTCCTTCTCTGGTTGGCTGCCTATCTTCCTCGCATGCCATTGGAACGCAGAGGGACACAGGATTGGCTGAGGCCAGGTGGTCCAATATGTCTGCGCTCTGATCCGACGCCACACCACACCACACATCACACCATACTTCAAGAGACTAGAACTGATGTTTTTTAATGACAGTCATACAGTTCAGATTGGTGGTCGAACTTCGAGATTTATTCCTTAAGAAGTTGTGAAATTCTTTGTCGTGCTTTTCCAATTATTAAAAGACGCCCCGTGTCATCCATACCTGGGTATCTGTGATAGGTGTGGTGAAAATACTGTGCGGATTCCCATGGTGTGGCTGTAGAGCCGAAACGGAGCCAAACGACTTACGTCAACAACACGCAATCAGAAAAGAAGAAGACTGTAGATAACTGGAAGTGCAAATGATTTATTGCAACAGCGATGTGGTTAATTGTGTGTTTATAGCGTGGTAAGACGTCAGCTTATGGAGGAAATTTCGTCGAGCCTCGCGTCGTAAAGTGTACTTAAGATGCTTGATTGAATTTCTTCTTGCTGAAGCTTGGTAACAATATTCGCCAGCTGATAGTCACAAGCATCAGAAAATGGCTCACTGTCATGAAACGGGACTGTTTGGTTAACCTTAAGTGTGGCGTGAACTAACATTCTGGAGAAGTCCAGTAAGTTAGAGGGAAATCTATTTTTGGTCAGTGTGCTAAGTACTCGAGGCGAGAGCGCACTCAAAAGTGGTTGTTTAGTGACGCATAAGGCTGCGGGCTTATCGGAATACACCGGCTCTGTCTCTGCGTTTGAGTGGCCCGCCAAGAAGATATGCAGCCTACCAGAAAAAGACCTGTGAGGAGCAGTACATAGTGAGCGGTGTAGCCCATGTGGCGGACTCAGATGGATAACATCTGAAGTACGATTCTGGTTTATGATTGGTCAATAAATTTGGTTCTCACAATGGGGCTCGGTATTCTGCTTCAAGAATGCAGACATATTGAATCAGGCCTAGTTAAGCCAATACTTTGTGTGTGCCTTTGAATGGCCTGCACAGAATATCGGATGAGATGCAGAATAAAATGATCTGCGCAACCAGAATTATGGACTCGGATAGACATCGCTTGATGTACAGTTCTGGATTATGTCTGGTTAATAAAGCCTTCGTCATACTGGAGCTAGGGTGTTCAATTATGTCCAAACCAATGCCGGAACAAGTTCCTGGCTGGGCTTAAACTCACATAAATAGATTTATCTTCTAGATACTCAAATTGTGTTAATTATAATGTCCAATATAGGTAATAATAGAATAATGAACATGTTTAATATCAGAATTGGAATACTTGTTTGGAGTTTAAAAAAACTGCACCGTGGCGAGGAACAAAACGAAATCCTAATCGAACATAAAATCTGGGAATCTGTTAAGCTGCATAGTACAGGGGACCTTGTGTATTCTTACTCCCGAAGGCGGAGAAATTTTTGAGAGTAAGGTTACGTTGATGAGAGTCAGTGTAGTTAAGTGAAATGGGTGCTTAAATTGATTGCAAGAGATAAAGTATGCAGAGCGTGTGGTTGGAAGTGTGTGGGACATAAACAATGTCTTGGAACTAACTGACACGTCCATTATTGTGATAATAGCTGGATTATGTGGAGGAAAGCCTAATTTCGTGTACGTATTTAATCATTTCCTCGAATAATTTTGCAGATTTAGAAGCATTGACTATTTGTTCCTTCTTTGACGTCATAGATGTCAACTCCATTACAAATAAAATCTACGGGGTACGAAACTATTAGGCAATAAATTTATTTGGAACAATTAGTTTACGAATTTCCAGCTTCTATTTGAAACAGAGAGTTCACGTGCGAATGCAAGTTCGCTGGATTTGAAAGTGTGGTTGATTTCCTCGAATAAACTTGTGATAATTGAGCCAAAACGCTGGCATCGTCGTAAAGAATAGGCCATATTCTAGGCACTGAATAACTAATGACTCAATGGACGCAGGAATGTCATTTGACTTCGCGATCTTCTCCCAGTAACCACTGTACTTCAGACATATTCGTACGGTAATCACAGGCAAAGACGGAGAGAATCATATCACAAGCTTTAAAGCAGGCTGAAAATGTTCAAGTTGCATTCACTTCCATTTTGCTTCCTAATTACCTTCAGATTTTAAGGTGGAAACATTCGGCTGCACTAGCGATCCGCTCAGGTAGCCGTTTAAATGTAAGGGTTCTTTACGTCGGAGTGGGTTTCCAAGGCAACATTTATACCTGACGCCCACGATGCAACCTCCACGTAAATGTTGACAACGCCCCATTTAGCATTAGAGTGGTATAGACCGTTAAAAGGAAATGAGACACCGACTGCTGCCTACTGCATAGTCTGAATTCATATTACTTCAAAATTCCAAAAGCGAAATTACCTTTACCCGGTGTCTGGCATTTGCTAACGCATAAAGATTATACATAAAACAAAAAAAGAAATTATCTTTCCAACAAGGCAAGCCAACAGCTGTCTTAAAATTAGCAAAAACCAATAAGCAGGAAAAACCAGCATCGCAGGCTGTTCACAACCAAATTGGTTTCCTGAGATTTAGCGAGGGCGGCAGCAAGGAGGTCAGATGAGGGGCCGGGAGGAGCCGAAGGCAATGTAGACAATCCAGCCCAGCAAATTCCCGGTCGCAGCACACTGAAAGACCGTGGACCAGCAGCGCGATTTCTCAAGCACGTAGCCTGTGAAGTAGACGCCCGTAAACCCAGGGATTGTGCCTATAGTTGACATGACGCCTACAAAAGACGAGTAGTATTATTCTACATTGGGCATATCTTGGCAAAGGGTATTTGCCAGACACTCTCAACTACTGAATAGTCAATCGGCACTGAAGGTAACAAGCACATACGTCTTACAGACTTCTTTCTATTTAGTTAGCGTACACCTTAACTGCTCCTGTTCTCCTGTCACATAAATACATCAATCAACCTGTTCTAACTGGTTACTCATGACACAACTTGACCTCCTGTCATATTGAGATTGAACTAGAGAGATGCCAAAGCCAATTCTGGAAGTTAAATTGTCCCCATCGCAAGATAATATAGTAATAGAGCACAGAGTTCTTCTGATAGTGAAATATATAGGGCCGAGAATTGAGCATCTAGAAAATCGCTAAAAACTCACGTGATAAGGATATTTACATAGGTTAACTCAGGCCAGCAATTTCTATCCAGAGGTATTGCGCTTGCCATCATCACGTTGGATTTAGGAAACATATGGAATCGAGAAATCATCGACTTGGCATGTTTGTACAATAGGAATATTACTTGTGTTGAATAGAAACAGATTAATGTCAATCGAGGCTTTGAGATGTTTAGTAGACAGCCAATAAGAGTGGTGAGGTTTCAGTAGATTAGACTGCCATAGATGTTGCGCCAGTACTTATAAAGGTTGTTACGCATCAGAATATCAAAGAAGCCTAAATAACGTGCGACGTAAAATGACTGAAGTTGATTTAACTAGGCGAGTAGGCAAGCATTACGCGAAGCCAGTGAGTTCCGCTTCGACTTTACACTAAAGTTAGGAAAATCAAGCCAGAGCCTTAGATGCATCTGACACATACACAATCCTTCAAGACGGCTTTCGAAGCGATAATGAATGAGAGTGGACTCACCGAACACCTGTCCCCCATGCATAGGGGCGATATCCTGAGGGTTGAGAAGAATACCGCTGTTGTGGAAACCGCAGCAAGCGATCGCCAGAGCCATGCACAGCAGCGAGGAGTAAAAGCCCTCAAACACAGGCAAGAGGACCAGAAACAGCGACGTTCCCAATAAGGCTATGGACTACAAGCGAGAATGCAGGTGGACAGGGGTCCATTTAACAGAGCCAATCTACTAAACCACAGATAACAACTAGGACTTAGGAGGTGTGGGCGGTCCACTTAAACAGCTTTCGTAGCACAAAGTACTTAATCCCACCCACACCAGAGGCCTTGAGAATTTGCTGAAATCATGACAGATCCAAAGATAAACATTAGTCTGAGTATAATTTTGAGGGAATTCCAGGACTAATTATTTTTCGAGTTTTCAAGGTTTAACAGGCTAGAAGCTAAGAAAAATTCTCACCGAAATAAGTTTACGCACAAAGGTCACAGAGAAGCCTAAAAGGAAAAATAAGCATTTAAATTTAAAGACATCCGGAAGTAATGAATGAAAATCCACGGTTTCAACAAAATTGGGAGAGGAGGGTAGATGTCCAGATAAAAGAGGAACGTGCAGGAATGCGAGATATTAAAGTGGGCAAAACAGCTATTCTGCTTGACTGGACACGCTAACAGCAAGAGATCCTCATCTAAAACGTCATTCAGAGAGTGAATGAACGCGTAGTAAAAACAAGCACAAATAGAGCGCATAAATAATTGCCAATGCCAAACGAAATTGACGAATTGAACAAGAACTGAGACAAGCTAGCTCACCTTGGGTAATCAAGCGATCAGCCATAAGACCGCCGAGTAGTGCACACGGCACAACGATGAGCCAGGGGACGACATTGAAGATCCAACTCTAAACGATCAACGCATTGAAATGAGAGATCACTTGATTGACGGGGAAAACGGAAGGAAATGGCAAAAGGGGCGAGCAAAGCAACACACGGTGGATTTTAAATGGAACTCTGTCAATGAATTCAGCTCTTCAAAACTCGAGACACGATGTAACAGGTTGTTTAATACAAAAAAGACGACACGACGGAAACCCCGGGGGGATTATACTAATTTAAACAAATCCAACAAATATAACGGCGGAACACACCAGTTTACTGGTGGGTCTTGCGCATTAAACATTAAAATAGCCAATAAAAACTCACTTTAGCGTCCGGGTAGTTGTCGTGGAAGTAGGAGGGTAGCCAGTTGAGAATGATGTAAAAGGTGTTGTTAAAAACAAAGTTACCGAGCAACATCGCCCTGAAAGGGAATTAAGAGATACATTATAGAACACTGTCTTTGAAAGTGAAGCATAATTAGTACTGCATTTATGGCTTAAATACATTTAACTTGAAACTAGGATTGGTGAAAATTAGGCTCTTAGTCTACGTTTAGTTGCATCCGGTTTATACTTGAAACCAAACTATGAACCTAATAAAAACTGAAGGGTTTAAAAACATCAAGCTATGGGAATATGAACATTGAAATGGCGTTATCACTTAAACAGCCAAACGGGAGATGTGCTGTAATGGAGTTGTTCCAAAAGGTGTGTCCGACGACAACTTCCCACGATGCCTATTGGGAAGCTGCCCATATGGAGGAAAGGATAAAGGAGGACGTCCGCATATGACATGATAAAGGTGCCGACTAAAGGAAATGCGTGAAGAAGTAAGCCAAGAAGTCGAACACGACTCACTCACAAAGCACTCCAACACAAGTAGAAAAGCGATGGCCTTGTTGTCGTGATGATGGCAATGGAAACCAAAAATGCGCTACTCATGTAAACGTAGTTAATGAAAGACAAAAGCGTTGGCGTGGATGAGCACTCAGAACACCTGACCCCCAAAACAACAGGGCGGGTTGCGGAGGAGCACGAGACTTGGAACAGCTTGCGTAAAGTAAGTGTTCCAGGTTCAGACACACAAAAACGATTGTGTGGTTAAATGACAACGCAAGGCTTGGATGGTTCTTATTGCCAATGCACATCTACAGGATCGAAACTTGGTTAATTACGATATTATTAGTCAACTTTAGAATGTGTTGAGATTCTGATATGGACCTTGAACCACACATGGACCTCCTAATTGTATTTTGTACGGGGAAGATAAAGAAGATCGAGGATGACGGAGAAAATCGTTGATTAGAGGGCCCGACTATGCTGTGCTGTGCTGCATGTGTTACGATTATAGTCACGGCCTGGAGAAATATGAGTGATGAGATCCGTCGACCAGAAGAAATCGGACAAACTAGTGTTGGGAATGTCAACATTCCCCCAGAGAACTTAGTTAACGCTGAGAATTGTGGATCCCATTTACTCAGCTCTCTCAGCCCGGTCCCAATACCATGGTTACGCTGTATCGCTGTTCAAACCAGCAGGTCATCAGTCAGTGTTACTCAAATCATCAGACCAAGATCGCCTAGGCACATAAACACTTGACTTTACCTTTGACCTCAACTTGCCCCCAAACCCATGGCTTGTAAAAGTACAGCTCTCTTGTTTTGTTCTGTTCTGGGAAGCCTTTCAGGTGCTAACTAAGGAGTTCGATTATTTACGCTCGGGGCTTCGCATCCACATACCGGATAAATCGTAAAGACTAGCGACTACACAAACACATAAATGGCAATATGCGTGGTATGTGCACAAGGACGCATTATCAGGCGTCCACGTCCGTGGTGAGGCTCCTGCGAAAAGGTGAGCGGGGTGTCTGAATTTGCAGCGATGGGGGTTGATGGACACGAGTCACCACGATTCACAGCAAATGCGTAACATGGGTGGCATCAAAAAGGTAGGAATCAAGTCAACGGGGTCAAGCAGTTATGTTTTTTTCCTATTTGCAAGTTCTAGCTAAGCTGAATCGATGATATTTCCAAGAGTGGGCAGAAGACAGTAGCGGTGACTGCGAGCGTACACTGGATGAGTGGTTATTATGTGATGATTGAAAAACCTCACCCTAATAGTCTCGATTTCAAATTGACACAGAACGCACAGAGCAGCCTGCAAGAGGAATGTGTGTTTTAAAAAGAGGCATTTAATGAGAGCATTTTTAAGAACAATTTTCAAGTCATCAGCACTGGCAGTGAACCAAGTGACAGAGTAATGCGTGAACACAAGAGGGAAAAGTGTGAGAAATCATGAGACTTTAAGTAAAGTGCGTGCGTGCAAAACGAAGGCTCGATTTGTGTAACAAGAAGCATAATTGCTAAGAAAATTTCAAGCGTTGCCTAAGGATGAAGGGATATTGCATAACGGAAGTTTGGTTTGACCCCGAAATAGACATCAAATGTCTACCAAACGCGAAACAATAATAATGAGAGAATTAAAGTTAGAGAAGCAGGCTACCATGTCAGTATACTACCAACACACCGCAATGAATGCGTCGTAAAGCAGTCGATCATTCAGTAGTTCTCTAGAAATGAGAAAAAAACTAGCCTGTTTAGATCTGAGTGCACTTTGAAATGCGGATTTCGAATGAAAGGCTGCTCGAGATTGGAGACTACACAGAGGAAAGTTCTTGTAACTCACCAAAAGGCTGGCTGGCGTGTGAGGCGTCCCCAACTAACTGCATCGGAGGGTGGGTGAGGAGTCTGAACCGGGGTTTTGTCCACTTTTGAGACAAGGCCTGTCTCAACATCGTGCACAGGCAAAGAAGTAAGCTGAAAGCGAAAGTATGAGGGCAGGTGTAAGTCAGCTACTGGATTGCCAAAAAGTTAGGTTGGTGGTTCAAGTAGATCACCACCACTGCCACGAGCACAACTGATGGTCGTGGTAGTAATTTAAGTGAAGTATTAAGACTAGAAATGCACACATTTGCCACGAGTCTCGGCAACTTTACCGTAATCACGGAGACACAGACTAGGGTAGAATTTAACCATAGCTTCAACAATGGGGGGTGCATTTATCTAGCAATAATACTCGACATGAGGGCCAACAAATACACCCTAGATAGGTGATTGATGAAAATCGGTATTTCCTATAAGCAAGGCATGACGGTGTCAGATTTAACTGGGCTGGGTGCCACGGCTTCCTAACTCATGGAAGTGGAATTTGCGTCATTCGACCCCTTACTCACACTGACCACTTGACTCAAACGGTATCCTTGAGGTCTTTAAATTCCGTGCACACAGTGTTGGAAAGCGCACTTGAAGTGGTATTCACAGTATCTTACGTAACCAAAGAATTTGTACGAGGAAGTAAGTGGGAGGTGTAGGAGCTGGAAACCCTTCGAATGGCCGTCAATAGTGTAGACCTTTCGGATGACAAAAGTGGCCCACAGCAGAGCAAAACAGCCAATGAGGAAGAAGGGAATGCGCCAGTCGTAGAATTCCGTCAAGAAGGAGCCCACAAAACCGCAAAACAGCGTGCTGGAAAAGAATACGGGGGAATGATGCAATGGTCTACAGCGGTGCAGGAATTATGCAAAAAGTGTTTCCGCAGGAAGGTGAGTCAGGCCTTTGAGTGGACGCTCACGTGAGTAAGCAGATTGTGTGCGTTGGAACTTTAACCGGTGAGACAACCAACCAGCAGCAATACACAGGAAACTGGAAGTTTGAGAAGAATGACAGCATGGCTGTTGCGTAAACATGAATATGTAAGAGATAAAGCACACCAAGATGCTGTAATGCGCTGCACCGTCATGACACCGACAGGTAAATTTGTGCGAACGGCAAGTCTTATCCGGTAGCCTTTAGATTCTATGCACAGTAGGTAATTAAAAAGTTCCCTTAAGTGTATTCAGACCGACATAAGTGGTGCCACTAATACTGGAATCCAACAATGTGCCGGGCACTTGAGCTTAGAGTGTTAATCCCGGTTCAATGCCTACAGCGTTGAGTGGCAGCATAATTAAATGCAGGTTTTTACTTACAGGCCACTCGACTTTGTATACCGAATACATGTGCGCACAAATATGGGTGGTGACTATTATGGGAATTGTGGAAATGGATGGTGAACGGTTTTGCCGCAGGGTTTACAGGGCTCTTGATGCAGCGAGTTGGCTATTTGACTGACGATTAAATGTCATTGGTTTCTATATAGGTTAACGCAAACTCTCGACTATACTACTTATTCCTCCGACTCCTAACGCCGTGCGTACCATCGGCATTTGGAGAGCCGAAATTTGCTGATGAGTTTGCGTCCAAGACGATCACGAGATAATGACAAATAATTGAACCACCAAATACGACGTGGGAGTACTTTCGCGACGGACCACATTTGAATTCCTGTATCTGAACAACAAAGAAAAGGACTAAGGTGACAATTGAGAGGAGGGAAATTTGGTAGTGTCTTTTTTAATCAAACAAGACAAGAAGTCATCAATTTCTACCTTGTTCAAATGCCTACGGGCGGTTGCCTTAAATTGCTTGATTAAAAAGTGACGCCGACAGACCAAGCGGAATAAGCATGGGTACATACAACATAAGTCCTCTTACCAACTGGACCTAGTGGACGAATCGCAGCCTCTGCAAGGCACACAGCAAAAAAGAGGCACAGCTTGAAGAGAGGAATAAAGGCAGAATTTGAACGAGAAAAGTGCTTTGTTTCGAATATCAAAGGTGTGCTGAGGGCGCAGTAACGGTGCATTATAATACAACAACAAACATGAGCAACCAAAAACAAAACCGTGATTGATAAAGTGCACTTGATAAGGCTTGAACTCAGGCAAATTAGGATTTGGGTCGAGTGCACGAACACACCTTAAACTAAATGCACCACAAATACATGTCCCTCATTATTGATAAGTGATTAATGGCCACGTATCTCGACTGCTTTGGAAGATTACCCGACTACACCAAAAAACCTAATTAAGCACAATGAGGCCTGTTACACACCAAAACGGATATCTACGAAGCTCTGGAATTCAACCGCATCCTAACCACAATGGATTACGATAATATGGGCAGCAAAGGAGGAGTCTTAAGTCGCTTAATGGTACCAGCTTATTGATCGGACGGGTTGCTTTGACATTAAATAGTGATAACGGCTGGATTAAGACTTTAATTGCAACTAGGAAAGTTCATTCAATCGTTTTAGAAGATAGCGTTAATGTTGTTAATCGTAAGTAGGGCTTATCAGGTAGGAGAAAGCATGGCCCAACTCACCCGGCATGGGATCCAGAGGTTATAAAAGCGTAGGTAAATTGGCGCTCAGAGGTCTGCACACGTTTTGCCATCAGACTCGCTAGCCCTGGATAGAAGAAACCTGGAAAATGAGAGATAAACGATAACACGGGTCCAGCAGATGCACGAAAAACGCTATCTGAAGTATTAAGTCGGAAACAGGTCCAGCAAAGCATTTGCAGGTAGAAAGCATAAAGTTCAAAATGGATGATACGATATAAAAAGCCACAAACCATAGACAAATAAAATCCTAATTTAGAAAAGAGCATCAGTAGGTCCGAAAAAGGGTTAGTATTAATATCCCATTGGGTTTGTTTCTATAACCTCGCGACCGAATGCAATGACTGACCTTGAAAAATGCCCAGTAAGAAACGGGCCAGCAGGAAGAAATGGAAGATTACATCCTTTTGTGACGAGACGAGGGGCAGCAACACAAACATGACAGTTGTGAAGCCCCAGATGAATGTGGTGAAAGGAAGAACAAATTCACCACCTAAAGCGTCACTGAAATAACCTCCAGCAAATTGTGTCAGCATGTAGCCCCAAAAAAAGATGCCCATAACCAAACCCTGAAAGAAAAACCATACAAAATATAAGACAGTAAAAAGAATACAGGAATGCCTAATGACCATTGCCGGATTTTCTGCAATAAGGAAAATGTTTAAGAACACACAAATCACGTGATTTCAAAAATTACCGGCCTTTTGTCAAGTATTCCGAAAACTCATTGTAGCAGTACACTAAAGGCATTCATGGGTACGGACCGAAAATTAGATATCGAAATTGTGACTAAATGTTTTACCTTAAATCGCTAGAGCAGAAAAACACAAAATGTCATTGGATTGGAAAACCAGTTAGTTTTACACTGGTACAAGTATGAAAAAAACAACTTCATGGAATGATTTGGGCAACGGCATGAAGGAAAACGATAAAAACTTGCCTCATCTTGGCGCGTCCACTTTAACTCAAGGGCGATCTCCGACGAGCACACTGGAAGAACATTCCGGCTAGCGTAGAGAAGGCAGCAACCAAGGAACAGAGCCTTCATCCATTGCTTGCGTTCTTTACTGAAAAAAACGTGTGCTTCACCAAATACATATCTGATGGGCGTACCCAAAAACTCACGTAGTTAAAGTATCACTTGCTAATCCAGCTATAAATTACCTTTGGTGTTTTAGTAATATTTAACAAGCGCTCACATTAAAAAATGGGAGCTCCAAGGGAGCTGTCCATAATAATGACTAGAAATAGTGGTGTCATGGGTTAAGAGACTCTGCAAGGGAAGTAACAGCGAAATGCTACCATCCATTTAGACTGGCAAGTTTAATAGTGCCGAATTTTTTTCGCATAATTCTACAGAATCCTTGTTTGTAAGGACGTAAATTCCTCGAAAAATTACTACAGGAATCAAATCGTGAAGAAATACAAAGGCAGGCCTTTTATTTATGATCTATTTAGAAAAACCAGTTTTAAAAATCCAAACTCCTGGGGTTCCGAAATGGAGTGGTTGAAATTTAATCTACGCGGGATCCTTGCATGCTAAACTGCCAAAAGCATATCAATAGATTTTCATTATGTAAAGGAAGATAAAATTTTTAATCAATTAAGTATATAGATTACTTTACAAAAAATACCAAATCTAGCGTTTTAACCTTAGACATTAAAAATTAAACATTCAATATGCTTCTGATACATTGCCATGACATTTACTACAATGATGAAAAGTTCAAATTGCATAAAGTAGCAATAAAAATAACTCAAATAGGCGTACGTTCTCCAACTAGCAGCTGGAACCGACGCTTTAACATCCATTCTCAATCCATCACGTGTGACATCCGCGGTCACCTTGACATTTACAGGCTCATACGCATTCTACTTGCGGCATCATCAGCAGTATATTCAATCCATGTAAGGAGATGCGTCCTTGAAGGCTTTTAGACTCTTTTTTATCCAAAATCTTAGCCGTTAAATAAATTTTGAGATCTTCTAATTGACCGTGAAGATTGTCTGAAATATATGTATATATGTACGAATGTGTAAGGTAAAAAAATTAAATCAACAAAACTTACAAAATTTACAGTAGAGGCAATAGATTGAGGATAGTTAGGTGGACTAACTTTTGAAAATATTTTAATGGTCTTTACTTGATGCACGAATCGATTAGGCGCTTTGAGTTGTAATTTCTACAAACCAATTTAATATGTCATTTAAAGGTCCCCTTAAAGGTCCCCATACTGAATAGAAATGTGAAAATAAATACACAAATTTAACTTTAATGGTATAAATTATTTGTGTCTTTGCTTTTGTAGTTAAGGCAAAATTTTGTTATACTTGAAATTAAGTTAAATGTTTTTTGGCTTGTGTTTGCTCAAATGGTTCTGTTAATAATTCTCTAAGGGAACTGTATGAAATACGATAAAACAAACAAAGATGATTGAACCGAATTTGTGTAACCTTTTATGGAAATCTGAATAAGTTTTTTAAATAAGATCAAGTTCTTGAGGAAAAACGTTGTTGAAAACTGAAATTACTATCACAAACGTCAAATTTATTTGCATATGCTCTGGATTTAATTGATGCTTAGTTATAGACTTCTGGAAGACTATGCAGTGGTATTGATTATATCTTCGCAAGTTTTGTATTTAAATTTTGTGTAAAGCAATGCAAAACGCTGCGAAATGTAAGGTGGCGTTACTAAGCCCCTAGATTTCCTTACAGGTAAAAGTTTATGTATAATGTAGTTAGTGACGAACATGCAAGACTCGTTTACATTTCTTAGCACTACTGCATAATATTTAATGAGATAATTATATGAATCCAGTTTTCATTAAACAAATTGGTACCATTTGACCTTAAAATCTTGATTCCTTTTAAAGGAGTTATAAGTTGTGCTGTCAATGAGTGGAATTCTTTTAAATAGTTTTAATTTTAAAATATATGCTACAGATTAACCCCACCCGAAACACGACTACTGAACCAATATCAGGAGGCAGGGTATAAACGCCTGGTCCTTTCTAGGTTAGCAGTCAAATTAGCCAAATCTAAACCACCTTTACACGAAGTGTCCAGGAACAGGTCCACAGGTTGTGCAATCATGTACACCTTCATTTTTTTCCTGTGTACATTTCTGGCGGCTTTTCATTGTCCTGAACTAAACAATAGCATAGCAAATTTTGTATTTGGGCGTAGCCACTTTGGCCGTTATCTAATTGTGTGGGTGGCGAACTAGGATAGTCGTTTTCAAAAATGTAAACGATTGCCATCAATTTTTCGCTTTACCCTAAACATTGTTTTCTAATTTATACAAGAATTTACCAAGAGTGGCAATTTACGTTCTATAAATTATCATGATTTCAGTAATGGTCGATGTCACGCATTTTAATTACTCTCTAATAACATGCTTACCTTTCTGTTATGGCTTTCGGAGCAGTGCTTTACGGGACAGACAAATAAATCTCATTTCGTAACAAGTGAATCCCTTTAGTTGTTTCATTCAATTTAGGGATAATTAGTGGAAATCTGGACAGCTTGGACACCTTCATGAAATGGTTTTAGGTTACAACAAATCAACAAACATTGAAAAATAATACGTTTACAACAACAAATGTGTTCGACTGTTAACTTAATGAGGTGTTCTGGTATACAGCATTGCTTGTCGATTTAATTAAATTTGAAGAGAGGTCCACCAGTTTCACAGATCAATTCAATAAAACACAGAACCAAATAGAATGAAAAAATTCAGGTGCAAAAAATGAACTTAAGCTTGGGTGCTTAAAAGGATAACACGTTGCAATCACCTCGAAAACAAAACAATGCTAATTTTGTAAATAGAGCTTGTTATAATATGAAAATTTTTTTGTTTTTTTTTTCCAACTCTTTTTTTACTCCTCATGGACATAGTTTAGCTAAATTTACTTCACCTCCTTGGGCTATTTTTGTATTCAGTACCATCATAAACTGTATGATTTTGTACCCCTAATGTACCAATTAATGCCCTTTCAAAAACACAAAGGATGAAGGCAAGAAAAGGAATCGATAATTTTTAGCCAGCACTACGTGAACGATCAATATAATTGTACAGCGTTTTATTGCACTCGAAAACTCGTCAAAGATCCTTGATTTGATCTTAGAACCAACTTCCAATACCATGCCCCAAACCCCACATAATGACATAAGGACAAGATGTTAGGAAGCCCAATTGTAACAAACCGTTTCACGTTTATTGATAGCAACTTCGGGTGCAGTAAATGACTAGAAATGCGTGTCAGTCATTCCCTAACGGTCTTAATGATAGCTAATTAAAATCCGTTTTGAATAAAATTCTTTTTACTTTTGACCAGACCACAGACCTTCAGAAGCGACTACAAATGATGTTTACCACATCAAAAGCTTATTTATTGACAAAAATACTTATGAGAGATAAGCAGAGAGGCCTTATACCACAGAAAATGGGTTTAAAATTTGCAAACTAGTAAAAATGCTGGTAGTCATAGGAAGCAAAATAGAAAGAAGGAGGCGTAGGTGCCAATAGGAAATAATCGAACGCACTCCTCATTTAAGCAGGGCTGCAAGGCTTCAAATTTCGTTTGCCACAAATACATTTCCTGGGAAGTGATGGCAACGCTGCAGGACGCTGACGACTGTGAAGTAGGACGAAGGTAACTGACACGGTTAGCTCAAACACAATAGTGAGTCCTACGGCAACCACTTGACTACAATGATAGGCAATAAATGCTCCTATTATGGACCCTTTCTAGAACATTTACAAAGAGAGAGGTGCAGCAAACTTCCCATTAAACAAACCTTTCTTATCAACGACACAGGTGGTGAATGGATGTTCAGGCTAGAGAGGTCGCGGAGTCCATAAGCAAGCTCAGGATTGATTTTGAAATGGCAAGAACAGGTCTTTTAATGCAAGTAGGTCTATCATTAAAATAGGCAAAATTATTGCAGAAAATCCGTCTCCAGAAATAAAACAACCCCTGTTCTGACCCAGAGTTTGACCATCCGCAAATAAATAAAATAAAAGTCTCAGTTTTTTGGTAATATGATAATGACGATGATGCACAAAATCCTGCAGCAGATATGATTTGCAATCCAACTACTCATTGAAGACTCAGTTAATTGTAAACTACCAATCACAAAGATTTTGCTGTATACAACCAGTTCATTATGTGTCATGGAGTAGATAATAACTCCGTTCTGGACGAACCGCCCGACACCTGGCCAAAAGGAAACGCTCTATAGGAGAGGCACGCGTTGAGACATTGCCATTCACTATTCTCATGCATTCCAGCTACTACGGAAACATCTTGCCCCATTGCACGATAAACTCAAGTCAATGTGAAAAGCAGCAGGTTGTCAAAGAATAAGAAGGCGGTTCTCTTTGTCATGTATTTAAAAAGGTTTTGAAAGCACTTTGGATTTTAAAAAAAGACGTGTTGAAAAAAAATAAGGCTGGATGTGAGACAAGTCATACAATGCCATGCTTGACTGATCATCACTCAATCTCAGCATAGACCTCGTTGTCCTGTGAAAGACTCTCTTCAAAAGCAAACCAGAGTTCTCGGAAGGTGGGTCGGTCGGAGGAGTCAGCACTCCAGCAATTCTTCATTGTTTCATACATCACATTGTCACACTGAAAGCCCATGCTTTGGGGGTTTGGAAGACGGTAGCCCGTTTTCACCTTCTCCGCGATCTCCTTCAAGTCCATGTCTACAAGACGCAAAGTATCCTTTATAGGGGAAACCACAGTAATGTCTAGCACTTTGATGGAGAATACCTCATAGGCAGATAAGATGAACACTGTTCGAACCATTAGAAATGTGAGTAGGATATTAGAAAGCAATTATAGGTTCTTAAATAGTCGTCATCTGCTTGTCGAACAGACTGGTGATCGACGTAACAGGTGGTTAAGCAATTAAAACTGAACAGAAGCTGCTGCTTTGGATGACAGCATGAAGACAGAGCACTGGCAGTTTCTTCAAATTGCCCAAACCGCAGCCAGCGGAAAAATTACTTTGAGGTATCTATTAAAACAAGTTATTCGAATTTGTGTAGAAAATCTCGAAGGTAAATTATAAATTGTAGTCTTATTATGCATGAGCGGTGCTCATGTGTAAATTTCTTCAGTTTTGCACTTTCAGTAAAGTGTGTTTTTTTTTAATTAAACCGCGTAGTTGCGTATGATACGCTTATTTTTTGAAAGTGAACACAATTGTTGTTTTCTGGTGCCACTGACGTGAGATTAGCCTTCACACGCCCGCGCAACAGAACGACGTGCAGAGCTTAAGGATCAGTTGCTGAAGTCAAGGTCGCAACACATTTTGCACCGTTTTGAGAGGCTGCTGGCGGCTTGAGAACAAAACGACAAGTGACACAAGTTGACGTCAGAGGGTTGCTATTCTTTGGGTTTAAAAACTGTGATGGCACGCAGAATCACTACACCAAACAACAGATAACCGGTAGGCCAACCATTTCACGCCTTGATACAGCCTATGCACGACACGGCGTTTTACACTTTGTTTGATTGATACACCAAAATAGTCTTTATCTACTAGTCGTTTGTGCGTAAAAAATGGTGGTCATATTAAGCGAATACGGGCACACACTTTGAATTTTAGGGTCAAATATTACCTGTGCAACGATGTAAATTCGAAAAAAAGACTACAGTGAACCACTAACGAAACCCTGTTAAAACCACAATGTTAATGTTTCAGTACAGTTTAGAGCAAAACTACAGGTGTAGAGCCCGTGATTTGTCAGGACTCGAATTTCGAAGTTTAAAAGAGTAAGATTATGGCTATTGGAACAAACCGTTGGATAATTAGCAGAAAACAACATGAGTGTAACTTAGCATAAGTCTAGCCCTTCCAGCAATCAGTAGACCTATAAAAGCATGATTTATGTGAAAGTTTCACACATATAGTAATAATTTAATGCTGTTAATGAGTTGTTTTGTGTGGGAACTGAAGTAAGTGAGAACAGAGAAGTCTATATTTGGTGGAGTGAAATGGAAGCGTAGACCCACCTTGCTCTGGGAGTGATTGGAGAATTAAGGTTGAGCAGCGTGACTGATGACCTACGACTAACAACCTTTAATCTCCTAGGCCACTAACCCTCTCACGGGCTCAAGGATGCATTTTTCGTTAACTTGCGACACTGCCGCTGATCATTTAAAGAAAGTTGAAAGCATAATATTATGGAATTTTTTAATTGTTGTTCACCGTAAGCAGCAACAAATCTCCGTAGTTTCACTTTCATGGAATTCTCAACACCACAACTCTAGATTACTAAAGCCAACCTAAAAGCAGGCTTTGTTAAAACAATATGGCCCCTCAAATGGATGCATATAACATTTGGTAAATCATTTTAACAAAATGCCACCAGAAATCTTCGTTCCTTAGTTATACCATACAAAGCTGTGATAAGAGTAGACACCTAGAATCGGCAAAACCGTTTTATCATTTCTTGGGTTTTTTTCTGTTAATTTCATAACATGTCTAAAACGACACTTTTGGTTAGCAGAAAGACAGAAAGAGAAGAGCTTACTGCTAAGCAATGTTCCACCTCAGTGGATAGATATGACCTTGATCAACAGACTAATTGAGTGCATCGCAGGGATTCCAGTTTGACGAGAGAGGATAAAGAGCGACAGTAAGAACCGTTTGCTCATAGTTTCTGCTTCCGTAATTATGATTTTGTTGTCTTGTCAAGAAAATTGCAAAGGACTTTTGTTTCTTTTTGACACAAAGCTGCTTAAGCCATGGTAGGCCTTTCCTATCAGAATCTTTGAAATAGGGAAGCGCGAGCTCAGACTAAATGATTATGTCACCGACAAAAAAACCCAAAGGTGGTATGAAAGCTAGATTTTATTCTTGAATTTAAACTCCAGGAAAGCCTTCCTCCGTTTGCCACCCAAGCAAAAGAAATGGCGTGCAACAGGCTTCAGCCAACTCCTCAAGTGGAATAGAGAGCACACACACCCAACGAAGAGTGGTGCGACATGAATACCTAATAGAACAAACGGGCTGAGCAATGTTGATAGCGAACAGAAAAAAAGGCGAACGTGTGCCGAAACCACAAATGGCTGAGAGACTGGTTGCACTAAAGACATTGAGCATTGCTTGAATTGGCCAAAACGCAAACAATGAAATGGGGGTATTACCCTTGTAGGGCTGCGAGCCCAGAGTGAAAACTTCGAACATGACGACTCCGAAGGACCACACGTCGCAGAGGATATCGAATGGGTATTTGGGCTCCAGCAACTCTGGAGCCGCCCACCTGATGGCCTCTGTGTTTTCTAAACCTGTAAACAAAAAATGCTTTTACTAGCTGACTGTGCATGCGGATACATGAGATATTATATGGTGTTTATGGACGAGTAATTCTGGAAACAGCTTCACACGTCATTGCTGAGTAAATGCATTCGTTTAAAACAACGAAACTGCAAATAAAAGGTCCTAATCGGGACTATCCAAATGGAGACGAATACAAGTGCTGGGCGCCTTCAATTTCTGTCAGACTCCATTATCCACAACGTCATCGCCCCACACGCGTGTGCGTAACAGGTGGTATAATCGAATGAAATGCCTATCACGCACACACCCCGTCGGAGCAGGCCACTCAGAGCCATGTTAATCAACGTAAACAAAGCCTGATGCAGCGGTTCAGTTTGAAATGATTCAACACGAGGCCTAAGCCAGCGGGACTCGAAATGGATATCAACTTACCCGTTTCATTTGGTGATGGCGTCAGCGGGTATTTGGTTTAAAAGGCAGGCACTTAATGAATAGTCAAAAAATCGCAGATTTGTAGTAAATCCGGGTGACTCACGTCTGTTAACCCGGTTGTTGCATTCTACGCCCCACTGACCCCCCTCTCACAGCGTCCCTATCGATCTTGTGAAACCGTCTGCTTATACACCCCTGTGCGGGTGCCACCCCACGCTACCCATTCCATTTATCTGACCATTAAGGCATTTGTACTTTACGGTCTCTTTAGCAGGGGCAGTATTGGTCAACAATCACCGTTATTCAGACACGACTTATTACGCGCAGTGGTGCGACAGACGCAATTGGGTTGAGATGTCTAGTAGACGGCTGTCTGCTATAGTTGGTACTTTTGTCTTCTCTGGTCTCAGAGTCGCGTGGACGGACCGATTCCACGCAGCGGCCCCGGGGTTTTCAGCAGAGTTTTGTGTGATAAACTGAGTTGAATTAGAGATGAGAGAGTCTAGAAAGGGTTGATGCCCTTCCTGCAGCCCAATCCGATGGGCATAAAGGGAACGAATTAGCAATCACGTTTTAAAGCCAACCCAAAAGGTGTCTTGAGAAAAATACTACCGAAAAACCACTTATGGATTTGTGTCAACCCCATTTTCTAGCCCCTGGATTACACATCTTTTATTTGATAAGAAGAATTATAATTATAGTTTCGTCTACTTTTAAGATAACCCGTAAGTTTCTAGCTATGGAGCCCTGCTCAAGGGATTACATCGAGACAAAAATGAGTTTTAGTCTGCCAATAAAAGTTACGGAAACTCCACCCCCAAAAATCCAGCATGGAAGACGGGAATTTAAGTAACCTGAATCAGCCATTCAAAGGTATAGCAGCCTTATTCAAACACTCGTATAGCTTGATTGCAGAATCAAGTCCATTGGTCCTACTCTTTTGATGCTCACATGCATTTCAGAAGCAATGTATTCTGGTTCGACAAACAAAAAAAGTCGAAGGCTCTAAGGTTCACGAAACCAGACTTGACAATCAAGAGAACCCGAGATCACGTACAACCAAAAAAGGTGTGCACGCGAGTTAGAATCGCAGGAAGGATCAATGGATGACAGCGCAATCTAAAGTGTACCGGTAATGTTGGGGCAGAAACAGATGATCAGCACCAATAATTATCAAGTGGTATCAGATGTTAGTTTCAGTTTGATTTATGACGACATGGGAGCAAAGTTTACGCTAGTTATCTTGATGCTGCTACACGTAAACAGACTATTGGTTTCAAGTGACAACCTGATCTTTGATTTCGAATTGTCATTACCGTTTACACAGGCGCAAGGTTGCATCCCTCTAAACTGGTTAAATTTTGCTTTTGTATTCTAATAAGTAGTAAATGCTTGGGAAATACTCTAATCAGAGGTAAGGTAAGTTGCGTAAAATGTCATTATGAAAGAGCTCAAGGAAGTAATGGAAAGAAGAAACTGAAAACATTTTGTTCACGGACAAGAAAACGGATTTTGTATAATTTAATTTGAAAAAAAAACAATTGGGGCAATTACTTTATATGAAAGCGGAAGGCCCAGGTACGACAAAAGTTTGATAATATGAATTACAATAATTCTAACTATTTGGGGTAGAAAAACCTGAGTTCTTTAGAAAATTTGTTTTTCCTCTTTATCGTATTAACTAAAATTGAATCTACACCCCCTTGATTATCATTATTTCTTAATAGGATGATAATATGATGCATTGTTTACGTAAAATCGCCGACTTTCATTTATGTGCTTTTCACTGTCATCCTACTTTTGTCATATTAAAGTCCATGTAAGAGGCGAGAGAGAACACCAGTTGTTTAATAAAGGAATCCTGTTTTTGCATATATCAATTATGATACGAGAGTCGATGCATGAGTTGGTTGCACTTAATCGAAATATCATCAAAAACGGACAAATAGCCAACAAGAAAAGCCTTAAGCATGAAGCGAGTGACCCCACATGCAACAAACAACTAAGGAACGATAATATGTTTTTTCAAGAAAAATAGTTCATTAAAACCAAGTAGAACTTCATCATTGAAACGGTCGGATGGTAACCGTAATTACATACCTCTGAAATCTTGTGCGTTCGTGCATACGCCAATTCCCACAATGACTTATATGGAATCACGAACATACCACTATTTGTGGTTGTACATTCTCGCATTAAGCAAGCTGAAGGACAAATCTATTCACTGGAAACTCAAAATTATTTCCTGCGAATGATAGACAAACGTTCCCGCCACTACGATATCTGAAACCCATTCAAAGACCAAAAGAGCAATATACTTATGTAAATGATCTCGTCACCAGCGAAATCGGAAACTAGTGTGTATCTACGTAAGTGTGCAAAGCTATCTTAGCAATGTAAACTCACTGGGAGATCCAAACACTGATCTGTCAGACTGTACACTGAAGCCGTAGTTGCCGATTTTGGCACAGAGTTCGCTCGATAGGAAGACATTGGAGGCGTTCAGGTTACCATGGAATGATTTCATATTTTCAATGTAGTCCATTCCATCAATAACCTAGAGTATCGCAAAAGCAGGGCAAGTAAACGCTAAGAAAAATCGCTCATATTTCAGTTTTTAGTACGCGATGAATTATTTAAAAATACCGATATGAAAACCGGAAAATACATTCTAAACTTTAAGAACGTAAGGTACTGTAATAGAGGCCAATCTTTTTGACAGGGATCAATTCCGCCCAGTGTAGGATTTAACGGATTCGCTAGCAACTTGTGGCCACATGTGGATAGACAATTAGGGGTGAATGCACATGGTCTATTTGTGCGGGACAAAATCGAGTCGCACATTACAAGTCCGTCAAAATGTCGACTATTCGGTCTCTAACTATCAAAATAACCAAAAATAAAAGCATCGAAAGCAGCACTTTCATTCAATTGAACCCGGTCTAAATTATCTCAGGGAATTTCACAATGCTTAAACCTTAGGAGCGCAACAACCTTGGATCAGGTAGAAGTTTACGGCACGTAACGGATAAAACCAGATGAATTCCGGCAAAATCCAACCCGCACTTTTAAAACTTCAAAAGAATGGAAAGGAAGATAGGCTCTCTCTCTCTCTGCATAATTTCGCTGGTGAATGTCACGAATATTTGCGGGAAAATCATTGAAGAGATGGAAGTTAAAGCTGTTGCCACAAAACGTGCACAACCGTTACAGGCATTTGAGAATAAGCTACTTCCAGAATCGTTGGCAAAGCACCATTATTTACTGAGGAATTTTTTGAACTCAGTAATTAAAGTCGCAAGTGCGACCTTAAAATTAACCTGAGGAATTTTAGGGTTTTCAGCGGTTAATCGGGTGAGTTTGTTTTTGTAAAAAAAGCCAAAGGACGTTTCGCTTATTTATTTCATTCAACGGAAACGAATTTTGTTAACCGACTTTTATAATTTTAAAAAAATTGGCTGATAAAAAGGAACAGCAGATTCTTTCTGACGGTCAATTCCTACGAGATGGAACGAGTGTGGTAAGTCGTAGTGACAATTAAGAAGTCTAGCTACTAGTATGGTATTGAAGTGCTAGCTTAATTTATGAATATGGATAAGGTTGTAAGAGTGATGAAGCCCGTTAAGGCAACAAAAAGAGTCGTTGCTTTGTTTAAGAATCTTTACTTTTTAGAAAAGACTAAGCCCATCTGCGGTAGACAATTCTGCTATTATTAAATAGACGACAGTATTTCAGGTAACCCCCGAATACACCTGTGAACAAAACTACGAGTACCAAGATAAGCAGACATTAGACTGAGAACGATTGCCAATGTTCATTTGATTGACGGGTTGTGTGATTTAGCCGTGCTTTAAGACACAATTACTCAATAGAAAACAGCGCAAACTATACTAATTAGTAAACTTACAAAAGAATAAAGAGACATACACATAAACAATCGAGATCGATCGGCCTGCATCTACCACAACAGCGCCGGTGCCTCCCAAAACACGGGAAAGCACTTTAAACCACGAAATTAGAGTGAAATTTAGGTACTCAATCCTCGGATTAACTCAAACGCTTACGAACAGGTGTAAAAATATTTGCTAATTTTAAAGTAACTTTGTAGCCGGAAAAAGGAACATGGACACCTCTGCTTAAACTTCACCAACCAAATCAACTGACTCTGTCAGGCCTTCGGTTTCCTCTAAAATCGTGTTTGCTGTAATATGAGCAGAATAATGAGCGATTACGATGAGAGTAGAGAGGTGACGGTGTCAGATGCTGTCGTCTTCTTGGATAGCCCAGCGTGATTGAGCTGGGATAAGGGTTTGTGACCTACTCTGATACATCCAAAAGCCCCGTCACCTGGCGATGAGGCGCACATGTGCAGGTCAAGCCAAGCACAACAAATGACCCCCGTGGTGGTGAATGTGCTGAGAGTTGTTTATCACGATGTTGTTTGGTACACTAGATAATATGGAATACATGCCTGGCGCATTCTATTGCAAATACATTCAAATCCACACTAGAAAACTTGAGCACATCTGAGTCTGGCTAATAAGCTAGACACTTTGATGCCCGTTATCACTTCAAAAATGACCACCTTTCAAGAGCCTCAGATTGATAATGAAACAGTCTTAAGCTTAAGAATGAGAAAAAATTTTGAATTGAGTTTAAATCACGGTTTGGGTTAGATTAAAGTGACTTTACTCTGAAATTCCTAAATGTTTAATCCTGTGGCCAGTATTTTAACCGAATCAACAGCTGAAAAAAGATTCTACTACAAAAGCGAATAGCCAACCACGGAATTTCACAGATGGTTGGCACTAAGAGAATAACAAGTGTGGCTTTATGTGGATGTCATTAGGCCTCGATTGTTCTTGGCGCAAGTGACACTTCCTGGTTAGGCAACATCATTATTCCGCATAAACGACTCAGGTGCTGATCATAACTGTGTCACGAAATGCATCCTCTTCACTATCAACGAAGTGTGCAGTGGTTTTCAAAAGCACAGCTTCTATTACGTGACGACCTTCAAGTACACGGGTTTAGGGCAATCAAGGAACCTCCAATCAACGTCACCTGCAGGTCAGCTGACACGAGGTAGTTTAGGTCGCTAGTCAAAAATCGGCCTGAAGGCACCGCGCATTCGCCGTGAGCTTTGATGGAAGGCAAGAAAAATTGTCTATGTATCCAGTAAATAAGATTCAACGCGTGATTGGAAGTCAAACGGGGAGTTTCTGCATTGTGAGTTGTCAGTTAGGTAGTCTTTTAAACCCAGACTCAAAATTAAATGGAGACACTTAACAGGTCCTACTAAGCATACATAATTTGAAAAAAAAACAATCCGTCAACGCACTAGAAGAAAAATAAAAGACACTTAATTTTACATCTGGTTAACTAACGCACTCAAAATAGGCTAAGCGTGGAAGCTCGTGAGTATTTGAATGTGAAAAGACAGATGCGGGTGCTGTCTGTTGAAAAACGTAGTACAGTTCTGAAAGCCTCGTAAAGAAAAGGAAGAGGGAAATCTAAACAGACAAATGAAAATTAAATGCCTTTGAAAAGCCTTCAAGGATTTTCTGCGGTTAACAGGATGACACCTTTTAAATTGTATCCAAAGACTTCCAATTGGATAATTTTGAAGTAAATTCAGCATGCACATTAGCATCTGTTTATTTGCCACAGCAGCAGATACTCTGGGAACAAAAGCCGACCAAAAATAAAAGTACTAAAGTCTTTAGCCACATCATAAAAGAGTACTTAGTGTCTCTTAAAAAATAAACAACAAAGTGAAGAGACAATGGACTACTTCCTTAAAAACAAAACTATTATACAATTGCCAAGTCTGAGTTGATTTTGAGTACAGAGGAAGACAATTAGGGTAATCAGTGGGTAAAGTGAAATTTCAGTTCCCTGAAACTTCTCTAACGGGCCCTTATAACGCCGTTGGGCCACTCTGTTTAAGGTATGGTGACTTTTCATTTGCAACGGGAGTGAATTTACCTGATACAGTAGGTTCTGGAGCTTGGAGTAATCGAGTGTTTTGCCATTTTGCACTAGGAAGTCCTTCAAATTGCCTCCCGGCATGTACTCAACGACGAGTAACAACGGCTCGCTCTTTGGTTCGTCGCACAGGCCCACAAACGTGACGACGCTCCGGTGGTGGAGTTTGTGACAAGCTTCAGATATCGCGATAACCGATTCACGATTCACGTGACTTGAAAGTTTTTTAATCACCACGGGTTGCTTCAAGGAGCCATAGGTAGCGATGTAAATGGAACCGAATCGTCCTCCTCGAGCTAAACGTGTCTTCAGGCAAATTTTGTCCCGGGAGATTCGAAGATCTCGCGATTGGACCACAGGTTTGGTGCGTGGAGTAGGAGCTGTCAGGAGTTGGGGCTTTCCATCATGCGCAACTAGAAGGTCGCAGATAAGAAGTCGACTTTGGTGAAGTAATGGTTGAACCTACCAAACCTTGTAGCATAACTGAGTGGCGATACAGTGTAGTATATGTTTTGGATAAAAACGAATGAACAGCCAGGCAGATTTTCAAAGGGAATCCTACGGTACATCTCAACTACTTGCAATTAAATTGAGCGGCTAGTAATCAATTCAGTAGCCACATATATGTTTGAGCAATTTGAGTATTTTTAGAATTCGATAAAAATAACATGGGAAATACTGCGATGCATTACTACCGAAACACCTTCCCGAGTGCTCACTAGTCCACGGTTTCCAAATTAATCTCTGTAATTGACAGGTAGTGAAAGCAGAAAGAGCAAAATTAAGCAATGCGAATGTTTTGTTTCAGAGCCCACGAAACAAAGAGTTGCGTTAAGAACTTAAAGATGACAAATTGAGTGTACGAGACAGGAATTTGTGGTTGACGCTATTGCACAAGACTCTGTAGCTGACTTGTTTTTTCTATTAGCACGAATAATTTTAACGAGCAATAGTTGAAAGCACACCTAATTTAAATTCCCTCTTATAAAAAACGACAAGGTTTGACTACCAATTTCACTGAAGGGAACCATGGCACCGTCTGAGTCCCGGCTAATGAAGCCAGTGAAGTATCGACAGTTATTTGTCGGTTTACTGATATCAATTGACCTTAGACGAACACAGTGTCTGACTCATTCCATGAGTGTGTCATCGTTGACAGTTGAGCGTGTGGGTAGACGCCAACAGCCAGGCTCGAACCACAATAATTTTGTGGATCAAATATCATTGCAAGTGTGAGTACATGTGAGTGCTAGCGTGAACCCAACTAGCAATCGCCTGAGAGCAGTAGCAGCTTTGCGCAGGATGCTCGTGCGACATAAATGGAGGAGAAAGTGCACGACAACTGCCACAATTTCGCTCACCTTTGTAATATTCGATGAGATCTTTAAGGGTTTTGAAGGTCCTTGACGGTGTGATGAAGAAACTGCCGGCTTCAGGGTCATTTTTGACGCTAAAGTGCTTTATGGTCTTTGTACTTCCGACTATGCAGAGGACCGAGAGAGCGATTCGGAGGGGATCTTGAAAGGAACAGATAGGAGTGAAAGGGGACGAACCAGTGAAATGTCCTTCAAATCTTTTTAGTGCATACGTGAGGAGGAATAATTATACGACAGCAAATGTTTACCTCAGGTTTCACACTTTACGTTAGGAAGCCTTTAGAAGTAGATGAAAAGAACACCTCGAAGAGCCCTGAAGTCACCATTTTACAGATTCCTGTCCATTTGAACGCATAAAGCAGACAATCACCCGTCATTATTAGCAATCCTCTAGCAACGCCTCGGTTTAAGTATGGCTCTTGGGACTCAAATAGTTTTAGTGCAAACGGTCTATGCATATACCATAAGCATACTTCCCTCAATTAAATTTTGCAATAATTGACATGTTTCTAACTTGTCATGCATGACGTGTTCTCAGCTGATCGCATCCATTTCCCTTCCTTCTCCATTAACACACGTCTTTTAGGGAGTAAACACACACGGGTGACGCAGAGCTACTCCCTGAAGCTGCTGACGCGGAAGAGTGAGTGCGTTTGCAACTGTCAATGACGACTCGTGGAAAAAAATAGTTAACACGCAACGGGCAATATAAAGCCTCTCTAATTGTCAAGCCATAATCTGCAAATTGCCACACTTTAGTCCTAGAAGCATTTACCATCATGCTGTCAGTTGGTTTGACGCCCGGTTAAATGCTACAAGCCTAAAGAGGGATAATTAGTTAAAGCCGTTTGCCCGAAGCATCGCCATATGGTAACCGGTGAAATTTATAGGGCAGCACAACTAGTGCTGGGTAAAAAAGAACGATATTTTACAGTGATGGCTCATGTGTTGTCACATGGAGCATTTGCTGGCTTCGATTTATCGTTGAGCGTGACGTTACTTCTGAACATTGACAACTCAGTGGATAGAGGGAAGGAACTCTGAATTCAGTCAGTGTACAACATATGATCGCTTGGACACCATTCGAATCATAGCCAAATATTTTGTTTAAGTTTGTTTATAAATCCGTTCCAGAACACGGCACTTTTGATTTAAAAGAATGAGGGAAGTAAGCAAATTATTAGAAAACTAATAAAACTTCGGTAATCATTAAACACTTCCAGAGATAAATTCAGCAGAAAAACAATTTTTTTCAGCAAGAGTTACACATCAGCAAATGAGGCTTTTCACTTTCTTGGGATGGCCAGACGTGGTCTGCTCTTTTGAACCCTTTGCTTGACGTCAGCTACAATTTTACCTAGAAAAGCTAACCGATTTACCGATAAAGGGAAAAAGAACAGCAAATTGTGGTTGCAGAAGAGAGAATGATTAAAAGAATCCCTTGTCGGTCTCAGTACAATTGTTTTCATCTTTGAGTTAGTTTGGTTCCTTACTCAGGGAAGAAAGCCAAAAAAGTTTGTCAGTAAATATGCAAGGTAAGTCCTTCGGATTCAGTTGACTTGTTGTTTGATACTACGTTTGAAGACTACTACGAAGAGCATAAATTACATTTGACCCCCAAATATTAAAGATAGATAATAGTTTAGAGATTACTACTGAAAACGCTGGAAGAAGCAATGGGTTAACAGTGCATAATTCTCTATCCGTGACACGAGGACTACTCACAACATTTCAAAAATACTTGATCACGTGTTCACACTACGTTGCTCATCAGAGTCCAATAGGAAATGGTTAAGGCTTACGTCGTCACAGAACACACTAGAGCACAGCGGAACATTAGGCCTAATCAATAGGCAAAGGTGTCGGCGCCTTGAAAAAGCCCACATTTACACGAAAAACGGAAGAATGACTAAGAATGATAAAATGAGTCGTAAATAGAGTCTAATTTTAGAACACAGAGACCTGAGTCGTACGCTCGATACAACCCGATCACTCATTAAAAAAAATTTCAGTCAAAGAATTAGTAACCAAGCAGAGTGAATGTTAACTAAACCTCCAATTCATCAATGCTTAATGATCAGTTAAAGCCCTAATCAGTCAAGTACTAATACCCTTACAAACAAGATTTTAACAAAGGGGGTCGACGTAGTAGCCAAAAAAGCCAACGATGTAGTCACTAGTTCCTCAAAATGGGGAGTTCAAATTGTGGACGATGAAACTGTGGATTGTAGTAAAGATTGCTTGAAAAGTATTTTTACAGTGCTTATGTCAGCTAATAGTCGTCTCTGAATGATTAAAGCAATTAGTCACAGTTGAGAGTGAACACTTGTCTGAGCACACTTACTAGTGAAAGTCATCGACAGGAGAATCTTACTGGGTGTTAAATTAAGCGGGAATTTTTTGACTTTGCATGCTAATCTACGCAATGCAGCGTGATAAACAGGTACAAGATGAGGTTCCTTTTTAGGAGAAACAAAAGAGAATGAATTTCATAAAACAATATTCCACGAATTATTGAAACGACTAATGGTTTTGCAAGGAATAAGAGTCATAGGTGTAGTAAACAATGTGAATAAGAGGTTCACACCTTTGTTAGACATATTTTTGTTTTACAACACGATTTCGCTTTCAGAAATTACCAAACTCACTACTCCTTAGTCTTGAAACAGCAATGAATTGCGCATTATATTCAGATAGTTCAGATAAAATTTCCTGTAGCACAATTGGATATTTGGGGACCTTGAGTGACCTCACTTTGAAAATAGAACTGATGCAAATATTGTAGTGATGGCTTCTACACAATTCTAGTGACGCATATCGAATATTATGAAGCAAAATTAAATAATTAATTTAAGCCTTTTATTTTCGACCATTCTGGGTAATATCCAACTAGCATTCTACTTTCATCTAAAAAAAAGATTTAAGATTCCAATCTTGTTTTGCCAAGGAAGACATAAATATTTCTCTATACAATTACACATCCCAATTATTTTTATAAAAAAGGGCAACTAAGGCGGGGTAGCCAATACTACTTTTTGCTTACTGGAACTGGGACGGACTATGTAGGTGCCATTTCGCAGACCTGGAGCGTTAAGTTTTGCCTCACTTTCCTGACGGTCGATATCATGCCAAGCATCAAGAATTTTCCTAACACCGGGCTCTTCGGTAATGTAATTTGCAGGAATGTATCCTGTCTTTCCTGTTCTCAAATTTTCAGCCTTCCACCAAGCTTCTGTGCTGTAGGCTGACTCGATCGTAAGAGTGTCACCCTTCAGGCACTCTAGGTCATCGTCCTGAAGTCCACCTGGAAAAGAGTGGACAACGGTGGCATATTGACCCCGAGGATTTGCACAAGACTGAAACCAAGGGTTGACCTTGTTCTCTGTAACCATTTCCTGCCTTTTGCGTTCGGCTTGCTCTTCGCGCCTTTTTCGACGTTGCCAGCGATGAGCTGGCTTTGGAGGTGCATATCCACCCTCATTGTTTTTTTCGACGACTTTGTTTCTTTTAAACTTACGAAGAAAGTTACTCATGGGTCCGTAGACCATAATCCTGTGGTAAAAATATTAAACCAAATAAATTATACCACTGTTAGAGTCTTTCAGTATTTAAAGAAATTTACACCACGAAAAAAAAAACAAGTCAAAAACTAATACTAGAGAGTCATTTACATGGCAAATTATTTACAGATTCTCCAAGTATGTTACTTGTCAGAGGCATGCACACAGAATATAAAGAAATAAATGTTGCACAATGTCAGTAGATACAGGTGAATTGCTTACGAAGAGACTCACGAAATACTACAAGCACTAAAGAAGTCTAACTGATTACACGTCTGAAAATGCAGCTAAATTAGAGCTTTTAAATGCACTTAGACCAAGAGAACCAAGAATATTATGCAGGATGTCATGCACAACTATTTATAGAATAAAGACACAAAGAATAGACAAGATACCATCGCCGCACATACTAAAATCACTAACAAGCGTTGGGCTTGTAATGGCGCCCTAAGCAAGGTAAAGATTAATTGACGAATTCTAACAAGTGATTGTCATTTTGAATGAATTGGAAAAAAATATCTATTCATGTTTTTTAGTAGACATGTTTAACTTAACGCTTAACTTTGCTGCATTAAGGAACTTGTATAGTAACGATAAGAGAATGTTTAGAATGAATTAATATGATAGCTATTGCTTAAATAATTTACCAAATTAGAACCACATTAATTGCTTTTAACCTGCAGCTAGATTTTAAGTATAATCTACAAAATATTTAAAAAAAACTTTGAACGCCTCTGTATAAATTGGTATTGCAATCACAGTAGTAAAAATATATTTAAAGAACTAAGATCTGCATAGACTGAAGTGGTAATATATTGAATAATTTCAGCTCTTTGAATTCTCAAAAATCGTATTTATTTCAAGATTTTGTTTTTACTGCTTATGTTGCCTGTTGGCTATTTGTACGCTCAATTTAGATAAACTGCAATTGATAACCTGGAAACAGATTTTATTTTAATATTCCTAAATCTTCAAATGTTTTGTACGCATTGCACTCAAGAAGGACATTGTTTACTCAACGTTTTTAATCAGAATGTCCAAAAGTATGTAAATGCTGCAATTTTTACATTATATTTGATTTGATGTTGGGGAAACGTGTGTATAGAAGCATGATGTGGAATCGCAACTTTGTGCGCCATTTTTACAACTCCACGCTCTGATTTTAATATCATTTTTAAATCTATGTGATTATTTCTATTGTAGACTGTCCTCAGAATATCAATCGCAATTATTCACTTCATTGCAAAACCTGATGTCGTTCTTGATGCAGTTTTTGCTGATTTTGTGCTATTGCAGTTATTAAACTACTTATTAACTCTATTTTTGACTCCTGAAGGATTCGAGAACAAAGAACCTAATACAAGGATTGGGACCCACACATTCATCCACCAGCTCAATAGGATGTCACGCTGCGAACGAGTGCGTAATCTTGATTATGAAAGAATTGCACACATAGGCCAATGAAAAGTAAAGGTGAGTCAGATTTCCCAAATTAATTACAGATAATCTGATTAAATAAGCTGCAACTTACTCGCTTATACTGACGTATGCTAACAGTACTTTAACTACACTTTTCATGCATTTAACAATGTCAGGTTTTTTCATGGTTAAGGTCCATCTCTTCAAGTACAAATATTTCAAAAAAATTAACCGAATAATGCAGTAATTTGAACATTTTACGTGAGTTTCAATATCCCTGGTGTCTCACTTTAGTTTGTAATACAAAATTTGCTTAAGCACCTGTAAATATTGGACATTTGCCGGTTACTTTTTTGGATGTTGCGTAGACTTGATAGAACGCTTGGTAGCTCTGAAAGCAAAAGTAAGTTAAAATAGCTATTATGTTCTGATTGATATAAAAACACACTCGGAGCGGCTCATCCACAGTATTTTGCAGCTGATGAGTTAATATCATATGATTCCAGCGCTCAGTTGATTCGGAAGATTGTTATGTCATTGGCACAATAATATTATTTGACATATCTCTAAAACACTTTTTCCAATCAGCAAACCCGGTCGGTGGATATCACTTTTCATCCTAAATCTACAAACGAAATGTTGATGGCATTAAAGATGTCTGAATCCACACTTTTTAAAATAAATATCAGCATTGTATATAAGTAATTTAGAAGTCTGAAGAGCTTCAATCTATTTATTATGTGGATCAAAAGCATTCCCACACTCAATGCTAATTCACTACGAATTTTATTTACGACTCATGTAAACGATGACCCTTGAAGGACAGGTCAAACTTCCCCATTCATACAAACCGACGGACACCTACACTGTGGAGCTCTAGAATATACGTCATGCTGACTTAGATTAATACCCTTTGTGGCTACGCCCAACCTAATCTTTCTGGCCCATCCCCTTGTCATCCTTCATAGAAGTTATTTGCAAATGATCTTTACTTAAATAACTCATTATGCCTGATACAAGTTCAAAACTATACACCTATGTAGCTACTCTGTTAATCATGACAGATAAGTCCTACTGATTTAAAAGATTGAGGTTGCTCTTTTCTATCGGCGTCTAGGAGTCATGGTGCTACCACAAACCTACACTAATGGCGCCAAGCGTATTTATCTAGTTCGCTAACTAAAAAGCTGTAATTTTGTCGAAAAGTAGTATAAACTTAGGACATCTATGGAAGCACAACTAGACCTACTTGACAGTGTTTGATATGTAGGGTGTTGCAGTTTTAAAGGTACATTAGAGTCCGTTGACATTAGAAAAGACAAAGTGAAACCGAGAGCAAAGAAGGCGGTATACATGCCACGTGGGAAACACAACCGTTTCTTCATCCCTTGATCTTACCACGTAATTGTGCGCATGCCCGCGAGAGAATTCAAAAAAACTTGGAAACAGCGACCAATGAAAAGCAGGGTTATGTCAGAGATACCAATCATATTTTGGCATACTTGGTCCTATAAGCTTTGACTGATAAACGTCTACTGAAGATCTGCTACAGAGGCTTTACATTTGAGGGCCCATTTCCGAATTGGATGGGACGTAGATTCCGCCTTAACTCTAAGGTTAATGTAGTGACAGAAAACAATCAATCAGCCTCCATATGTTACATAAAGGGCCATGACACCTACTGCTACTTCAAGTGGGTGTATTTGGAGCCTAAATAACCTTAGTAGCGATATCATACGTAAAGCCTTGTGGCGCCCGCCAAACTGCCTTATCTTCCTGCATCTTGGAGCGGCACACTCTTCCGCTCAAGTTTTCAGGGCGATGCTTTAATTAAGCTGTTAGTGATTCACCCTGTCAATTTCTGGCTGATATTTTCTCGGCTCCAAGCCCAAAAGAAAAGGAAGCAGTCGATTATGAATACGTTTTTTTTACTGGGTTGGATTGCACCGATTTTAAACAGTCTTTGTTGAAAATTTCGCATTAGGGGTACCCTGCACCAATTCAGTCGAAAATTTCGTCGAACATTCTCTGGAATATTGTGGATAGCCAATAACAATTTATCTGAAAAGCTAAAAATCCTCCAGAAACTGCACTTTTTTTCTGCTTCAATACTTGGGGCCGCTAGATTCCAGATGCGTGATCCAAAATCGTGCCCTAAGCATAACGCAACTTCAGTGGATCATCCTTAGCATTCTAGTAACCGTTTCAAAAGTCACCAATAGAGTACAACCTCAAACTCGTCAAATCAAGCCAAAACTAGCAATTGAACAATCCCAGTTGGCAATCCAACATTTGAATAGAATCCACAGATTATCGCCGGGGGAAGAATTACTCGATGTGTAATCTATCCACGGTCAACAAATATCTGTCTGTCCTTATGTCTCATGTCTTTAGAAGGCATCAGCGAGGTGTGCGTTCAGGAAGTTCTTCAATTTGCGTTGATACTATTCCGAAGTCAGAAGAGGCACAAACAAATAAAAAAATGAAATCAAAAGCAGTTTGCTACTTCTCCGCAGCCCAAAAGACCGATTTATCCAGATGTGTAGTGAATTGTCAGCTGAAAAGCGTAAATGAAGCTTGTTCACGAGTTGATTTAGCATCATTGACTATTAATTACAGTTAACGGCCGATAATCACTCTTGCGTACACTCATAAAAGGCACTTCGATGCTGATAAACGATTGCATCGCCTGTTATGCCTCGGTTCACGGGCTGCTTACTGGCAGATTTGTAAGGTGGTGCTAGCGAGCCACTATAAACGAATCTCTTCTCTCTCCGCCAAGGGCCGAGTGATGTGGGTGGCCTCAGTGCAATAGAAACAGTGCTCTTAAAGTTGAATGGGCCAATAGAAAGGAGACGGTCGATGTGAATACAAAAAAGGTGTGCATAAACACAAATAATAACGAAAAATATAATACTGTCGAAAGCTTGAAAGGCATAGTGTTGGTGGTGTTAAGGCAAATATTCATTGCGTTCAAACAAAGAATAGAAGACTTAAAGTAGAATTCAAGGGGATTTTTTTTTAAAAATACAGGCGTCTCATTTTGTTTAAACACAGAGTAGATAGTGATATTCACTGAACAAAGTTGTGGGGTTATGGTGTAAATCTGGAAATCGATTTAGTGGTTAAAGCTAATCAGCAGTGATGTGGCGACCTGAGAGCCTATTGCACGGTTGCACAGAACAAATCAAAAAACAAAGCAATGAAAGTGCAACAGAGAGAAAATATCGAGGCCCAATACGTTCAAGGTTTTCGGAAAAATAAACTTGACCCAATTGTGAATCGTGTTTATTTACACTCGCCAATCCAATCACTCCAGCCTCCGACGCAGGGTCCCCGATTCGCGGCATTTTGCCAGCTCCGCGGATCCTCAACTCCCCCCTCATTCGCACGAACATTTATCCTGGATTATTCTCACACCTAGGTCGCGATGCTAACGCATGTATGACTCACACATCAGAGGTATAAATACACGCGTGCAAATGCCACCCACGAACCTACAATACCAACGTGGCTGAGATCTGAAATAAACGGTTGTTTACACGTCTTCTCCGGTCTTTTCACCGCGGGTATCAGGGAAGCGTAATCGGGCCAGGGTTAAATCCATGGCCCCAGCGTGTTTCAAGACCACATGCTGGGGCCCACGATAGTTGGTGACCCCGAAGTGATGAAAGGTTCTTTAAATCCCACAACAACCCCTTGTAAAGAAGTCTGCAGTGTGTTCATACATCTGAGTGTGCAACTTGAAAATATTCTGGAAGATTTGATGAGTAGCAATAGGTCTTATGAATTGTTTATGGATCAGAAGGCAATATTTAACATGAGTTATTGACACGAGCCGATTTCTAATGAGTAATTACGTACAAAGCAAACTTGAATTCAGTGATCTGTCAACTCGATTTTTTGAGTTAAATCTAAAATATTTCACAGAAAGTCTTCACTCTGAAACTGCTACTCTAGTACAGCAATAATAGCATAAGAGGCAGTCCATTTTGCACCTTTTGTGGCCTTATTTGCAAGGTTCTGGTAGGCCCAAGCTGGCTTGATTTATTGCATTGGCACTGATAACTACTCGGATTGCACTATTTTTGGCTTTGTTTATAGTCCTCCAGTATCTGAACACAAATGCAATGAACAAGATCCAAGAGGTTTCATTTCCTCCGTACCAGAGTGCCTCTTCTGAGTTATCAAATCAGCAGAGGTCGAGTTTCTGCAGCTACTGATGGACAGCAACCTTCGGGTTTTTTAACCTGTCACCTTCACCCAACGCCTTAGCCACAAGTTATTCACCGAAGTTTGTTCATGAAATCTCCACTGCCAGGTGTTTGGATGGTGCTGAATGGTTTCCTCGTAGATGAATTTACATAATTAGAAGTGATGATATAAAGATGCGTCTGCTCATTGACACCTCTGTTCAGCTGCCCATCGCACCTAACAGAAATACATAAATCATGAAGTGTGATTTAGCTGCATTCTTATTACCCCACAGAAGTTAAAAGCAAAGAAATGCATTTCAGTGCGTGAGCAGGAGACCGGTTTTTGGTGAAAACAGGTACTGTAGCGCAGCTTCACAGCGTCCTTTTCGCTTTGGTGTCTGAAGTTCTTCTCCTAACCTCCCTTTTACAATAGGTTGGCGATTTTCCTAATGGCTATCGCATTTGTGTACAAAACGTTAGATTTCCTACTTGTTTGATTATGAATTTATACAGTGTATTTGACTCTTTCGGCTAAATATCGTTTGCTATTGCGTTGTGGACATGTACTGCCTAATGTGTGATAATCTTAGGCAAAACTTATAGACAGCTACTGTCCCTTAGTCACTGGTGATCTTGCCTTAATTCCTGCAGCTTACTCATAGTGTTAAAATCACACTCAACTGCAGATTCCCAGTCAGCATATCAGGCACTGGATCATGCAGTCCGAAAATTAGGATGCAATGGTGGGAAAAACACAGCCATTGGCAGTAATTTTTACCACAAATTAATTAAAACATCTGCCACGCCACTCCTAATTCCCTAAGAATGCCTAACACACCCAGCAAACACTTGTGGGATTTGTGCCACGCAAATATCAGCAGTTGTTGTGCATCGGTGAATTTCCCCGCCCTCTTCGTCTACGGCACATTTGTAAACAGTGCCCCAACGGCGCACTATTTATGTACTTGGCCGATAACATAGATGACCCGGTTAGGAATTGCAGCTAAATCTGTCATCTAGTTAACCAACTTGAAGCCAAAAGCTGTCAAATCAACCAACTCTAGCTAGAGGCAAATGGGCCTAATACAAACACGCGTGTTGATTGTAAACCATACTTAATATAATGTCACACTGGCAGGTGGTTTACTAAATCAAAATATTGACACATTTTTTGTATGTGGTTACGTAAATTTGAAAATCAGCTTTAGGACAGATAATCAGCAAATAAAGAACCAATGAGAAAGGATTACTTTAAGTGATTGCTTATTAATTCTTCTAATGGCCCAAATAAAAAGTTGTGCAACTCAGGACAGCTGGCCACCAGAAGTGAGTAAAAGGAATCTAACGGATGAAAAACGACCGAAAAGAGCAAACCAACCAGTTTAACTGCTTCTAAGCCACTGGTAAGTAAAAAGTCGGTCATAGAAGCTAAAGGAATGTTGTAACACTGTACCTACTAGTGTAGCAATACTAGTTACTACGCAAGCAATAAGTTTTAAGCGATCGAACCTCCTTATTTCGTCATTACCCAAGAAGTTTCGAAAAAAACTGTTCACAAGTAAACATCAACGTCAAGACAATCACAAAAGTTCGTGCCGCATTTAATAGACGACAGATGCATGTACATTTGGCTGAGTAGATGTTTCTTTACATGTAACCTTCTTATTAAATGATAGTGATCTAAATGCGTAATGACCCAACGTAGAATTGCAAAAGTTTATTTTTTAAATTAATTTGAATCCAGATTTAATTTTCAAAATGAAAAATAAAGGTCCGTCTCCGTTATGCAGTGTTTCTTAAGTTAAAAAAGGATATTTTAGGTTTGGTATCAAAAATTAGTCAAGAGTCTTATTGCTTTTAAGATATTTAAACGGTGTTTTTAAGCCTGCCGAAGTGGCCACCTCAATTCAAACTATGAATTTTAGCCATAATTAAGTAAATAAGAATGTGCGGAATACTACTAAAAGAGATTGTTGGAGGATTGAATGCATTTAATTCTAATTCATTCCACCAATTAACTCAAACTGAAAACGTAAACTAAACCACGTGTTCACAGCTACCACTCACCCCGTCGGCCAACAAGAAACCTTTTCTGGATCAGTTCACAACGAGATGAAAATCTGTTTGTTTAAAACAACAAAACAAGGAAGGGGCTGAAAGCATAGTAGTTAAAGAGCAGAATCTGCGGAAAAGGCTGAGTCGCATCCCGTGAAACGACTGTATTGCATTTAATTGGAAGGGGATTGCAAAGCAATGATTGTTGCCAAACAATTACTGCGAACACCTCACTCAACTAAATACCGATCTCCAAGCAATACTTCTAAATTGGGTAGATCTAAAAGGCACTACTTTTCACCATGGCAACGCTATTGGCATGTCGTTCAACGGAACTTGCCTCTTCAGATTTTGTCTGTTTCGATTATTTCAAAATAATTTAAATTGCAAAAAATTGGACCCTTTAAAAAAGGTTAAAGACACCTTTCAATAACCCTTATAGGGAGACCACATGGTTTCTCTGCAAATAAAAAATTCAAAAACATGTCATACATTGAAGGCAGTTGGAAGAACTGATGAAGAGTACTTCGTTGACCACAGTGCACTTTTTTTCATAAAAATAAGCTGTGGTTAATTTGCCCACAAATGAAGTACGAACATTTATGATTGCTTAGTAGCTTGTTAACATTCATTAAAACGTCACCATGGGTACCTTGGTTTCCAACACGATTTTGTCTGCCCATGACAAATTCAGCCAAGTAACAAAGAAACAATCCACTTTAGCAAAAGTCAACACTCATTCTGCACTTCCAGTTGTATCACATAACAAAACTACGTATGCAAAATATTGCAAAATAGAGTGAAAATTTGCAAGCCACCTAGGGGGAACCGTGTTTGTAAAGTTAAGGAATCTTCCAGAAACCACAATTTGTTTTTGGACCACTAAACGTGGTTCAGTAAATGCTATGTTGATTTATATATGTAAGATAGTCTGACGAACATGGCTTACGAAGCATTCCAATGAAATCTCAGAGCATGTTCAAAACTGATTGGCTACGTTTTTCGAAAATCTGCTTCAGCAGTGAAATCAAAAATTGCGAGCAATCGCACTAAACCAATATGCCTGAAAGCAAAACTGGTAATTAACTTGGGCATTAGCCTTTGTTTGCCTACCTAATCAAGTCATTGTCTTGATGCGTAATACGATTGGTCATTTTCTAAGGTCACTAAACACTTTCACGTGTCAGTCCACGAATACACAAACACACAGACGCACGCTCGCGTGCGCGTGTACACTTACAGACGAAATGATACCAAGTAAACTGTTTCCACTCCTTCTATTCCTGCTATCACAGAGTCTGCAGGGTAATTCATCATCTGATATTTTTTCCTCCATCACCGCCATCGACCAGGCTGTTTCCGCAGGCCGGCATCTCGCTTCCGAACTCCAGACCTACGTAACCAAGGAGGAGGCTCGTTTGGCGAAAATGCGGCTTCTCATTGGACGTCTGGAAAATGCAACTCGAAATTGCGCCAACAACACCCACGATGAGGATGGTTTGTTTGATGCCTCAGCTCAGGAGACTATTGCCAACCCGGTGTCAGCATTCCTAACCATTTTTCGGCTTGCTTCCAATTGGTCAAAGGAGCTCGCAGTCCTCCTAGATGTGCCAATTTCTGACAGTGGACAAGAAGAGACCTCGGTTACTGCATTCAATGAATTCAATTCGAGGAGGAAGTTGTTTTTGCGGCTCAGGTGGTATGCTGACATGCTTCCAGGGGCGTCAGACGTGGATGGCGCGTTGGATGCCATCATCCGGCTGCAGCAGACTTATGAAATACCCGCAAGTGACATCGCCGAAGGGCGAATTTTACCCACGTCGCAATCACCAAGGCTAACGGGTAATGCATCAATGTGAATCATTTTCTTGATTCAATCTCGGTTCGGTGAAGGGCAAAAAGTTAAAAAGCCAAAAACGACCACTGCGAAGCAAAATCAACTGATAAAAGCAATGCTAGGAATCATTTGCTCAGTGTGCTTTTAGTTATTTTTCAGCAAATGTTTTTCGATTTTCGCTTCTATAGTAGACAAAGTACTTTTAGCAAAATTCACTTGGCAGATCAACTTTATTTTGTGATCGGTCATGCTCAAACAACTCTTTGTCACAGAAGCAACCGCTGCATTTTGTTATGTTATTCCGATATCTGACATAAGAGCAATTTTCCGGAAATTGGTTCATAGCTCTTGATTGAATTTGATCGTAATCAGTACTGTAATTCAATTTTTAAAATTAGCAGAAGTTATGTACTTTTAAATTATGTTCGCAGGTGTTTGTTTAGGGACTATTAAGAAAACATCTGGTGATGATCGAAAAACAAGTTACAGAAACATTCAAAATCAACATTTTCCGAAGGATGGAAACCACTTAGTGTTTTTAGCAATGAGGGGAAATGTTTGCGAATGTAAAATTGCAAAAATCTATGAAAAAGATGACGCTACGGTGCGTGTTTGGACAAACTGCTTGATGCTGTCTTTAAAAGTTACGGAGAAATTGGTTGGAGTTTAGTCTGATTTCAGTCTTTGGAAACGATTTTACTAACACCGGTCTACACTAATTTAAAGGTTTCAAATTAATCCAATCACTTAGAAGGTGGTTCCAATTTACCGTACTGCTAAGCTGAGACGGTTATTCTTTAACCTTCAAAACTAGTGCCGAATGGACTCACATAATTATCGATTTTTCAAGCCCATCTGCGACGTTGCGTTTAGTCTTAAATTTCTAGACATTACTCATGCTGAGGTATTTAACTGAGGAGTTGTCATCTTGGGGATGTAAACCAAGTCCTTAAAAAGCAATGACACAAAATCCGACTTTTTGACGGGTTTATTTTGATCGCTTGCACAAACAATGTTTATGAATGCTAAGCTTTGGTTTGTTGTAGTGACTAGATTTCAATTTCCTTGGCCAAGTGCTAGCAGTCTTAAGTTGACAAAAATAAGATTAAGATATTGAAAACTGATGAAATTCCACTTAGGCTAATCGCTTTCAATAAACTTTGTGTTAATTGGATAAAAAATACAATACTGAACAAATACAAAGGAAGGTTGAAGAGTAAAATCGGCGGTAACAAACGATATTCAGACGGCAAATCGCAGGTAATCAGAGACGCTGAATTGCTTCAAATAATGTTACTTTTAAACCGCACCAAGTGTGCGTGGAACGAAAAATATGCATTTGTAACTTAAAAAGAAAATTTGTTGAGCAGAAAAGGGCGTAGTCGAGGGTATGCTGTAATCCATGACGGGGAAATCATTAAAACGAGCATTCAAAAACAGATAGAAATTTAATAAATAAAGTTTCAGGTGTTTCACAAAACCTAGGTGGCAATGTCTGAATTGATTCGACGAAATTGAATACACGAACTTGGGAGACCAGAGCAGATTGGGATCATTTTCGAAGACTGCAATGCCCCACATGCACCTTACCTTTAAAATTTACCAGAAAACCTAAAATATGTGGGCCGTCTTATTGCGTTAATTTTGTAACACGCCCCAATTCTATGCGATAGAGCATCGACTCACGTAAAACTAGCTGAGACCCAAGTGCTGATGGGGTTCATGGCTGGTAACGATAAATAGGCCGACAAGTGAGATTTGGGCGTGAAATAATTTGATGATATCTGGGGATTGATCAGATTTGGTAATGATAGAAGCCACTTCTTTGAGCCTCCCTCTTCTGAATCGCGTTTTAAATAAAGAGTAGCCGAAATTGTTTTTTTTTAATTTTCTATTTAACAGAGCGGCAGTGCATGCACTTGGGCCTATTCGCCTATGAACTGGGCGATTACCCCCGTGCTGTGGAGTGGTTTCAGTTGGTCTTGGATAGACTGAACCGGGTGCCTTTACACCAGCGCAACGCAGACGACGATGGCGCCAATCCCATATCCCACGCGATGGTCTACGACCACCTTTCCTACGCACTTGGAAGGGTGAGCTTATGGTTGTGCATAAAAGAAGTTGACTGGTACAAAAATTAGGATGACATGAAAGTAGGAACGTTTAAGAAAGGGGTTATTTCCGTCTTCTTGCTAGTGCAGCTTGATGTTTGTTTATTCTGCTATGCACCCTATATCCCTTTTTGAGGAAAATTTTATCCTGTCTAATTTTTACCATTTGCTTCCAACTATCCCCATTTTAAATTATTACTTGAACAGAGACTATTTCAATTATTTTCAAGCTTGACAGATGTAATTCAAAACGCCTCGTTTCAATCTTCTTTCAGGCTGGTCGCTACAGAGAGGCTCTAGACGTGACTAATCTCCTTCTCAATGAAGGCAAGACTTTAATGTGATTTTTTGCCAGCTTAAGGCGCTCTTTTCAGCCTTATACTAGAATTTATGCCATCGTCATTTTGGGCTACGTTACACCAATTATGCATTTGTCAGGGTTTGAAACACGTCTATTCGTTAATGGTGTGAGGACCTTTAACAAAAATGGTATTTAAGCAAATAAATTTCCTCACATAGAAAGTTTTTTTAATGAAATATAGATCCCAATTCAAGAAACGGTGCATTAAACAAGATGTTTTACGAGATGGAACTGAAGCGCTACAAAGGCAACGATCCACCTCCGATTCAACAAGACAGTGAGTTAAAATCCATGATACCTATAATACCGTCTAATGTATTGTTAAATTACGAAACCCTGTATGAAGTTTAGATCAGATTTGTTTTAATAAATCACGCAATAATATCTATCAGTTTTAAGAGAACATTTAAGTGATTATTTGGTGCAAGCCCGTTTCTCACTCCATTTCGTTTGCAGGCACAATGTGAGTATGTGGGCGTCCTATGAACAACTAATGTTCCTTTGTTTGTTCCCTTTATTAGTATCCGTTGGTCATTAAGGCAAAACATTAGAACTCAATGTTAGTAAAATTGGATGTCGCACGCGAAGGTATCTGTTCGATGAACATTGAAGCAACTGTAATAAAGTTTCTCTATTCTGTTCCCCCAAAGTGTTGATTAATAAGGAAACTTGCAAGATTGTTGTCATTTTGACACCTCCTCTCTTAGACATGCCAATTTTTATGGCATCTATTAACGTTGTAGAGTGATTGATTACCAAAAATCGGGACAAAGCGCTTTAAAACCTTCATCACTTTCATTTCAAGCAAACTGCTTATCAACGGGCAGTGGCAAAAGTATACCACTATGCCCTAAGCCCCGCTTAATAGACTAAGGTAGCGCACCACCAGTTTTTAAAATAAACTTGTGCCCTAAATAACCTTTCCAAAAATATTTTTATGCTGTGGCAGAAGGCCAAGTTGAGAATGTGATTTATTAGGCAGATTATATTTGGTTCGCTGCGTCGTTAATAGTAGCTACCGTCATTTAAGGTGTTCTGCAGAGTTGTGTATTTAAACTAATAGTTGGGCTAGAGAACAGCAACAGTCAACGCCGTGGGCTTTGATTGTTTTGCTGTGCCAAAGCTAACGTCCATTAAAAGTGCATCGATGGTAAGTTGTTATTTTAGCACCTGAATGAGGGCGTAGGTTCAAATAGGTAGACCGGCGGCGTGGGGTTCTTAAAACAAACCATTTTTAAGACATTTTGATGTTTAGGCTCAGTATTTAAAAATGGACAAATTTTGCTCATTCTTTTCTCTAATGCTATTATTTAATGTAAATTTTGTGCATTCTAGCCTCCATGGAGGCTGGCTGGGAGACTGGAGACTTTGACGACCTCTGCAGGAAAGCCGACAAACCGATGCATCCAGACTACCGCCTGAGTTGCCGTTATACGGTCCCACACCCCTTTTTCCTCATCGGTCCAATTAAAGAGGAAGTAATGCAAGTCGATCCACCCATTGTACTGTGGCACGAATTTGTCACTAAAAATGAAGCCGAGATGATTATTGACTTGGCAAAGCCAAAGGTAGGCTTTGTAAAGGGAAATCCCCTGTTAACACGAGCAATGTCTTTATTACATGTGACGGTGAATCCCAAATTTCGGGCCGCCATAAATTTTGTCGCCTGCTGATGACACTGGAATCAAGAATGCAAATAAGAAATCGAGCAACTGGTGCACACCCCCAAATCATGACTTTATAAACTACACCACTTGATATGAGCCTTTGTGTGTTAAGGCTAAAATCTTGTAATGCGTGCTTGTGGTTGATAGGAAACATTTTGACGACAAATCTCTCGAAATAGCATCGAACCAGCTCTAGAAAAGTACATAAAACACGTCACGGGGTGACAACGTATTGACATTAGATCAATTCAAGTGTCGAAGGTCACTTGTCAACGTTTACGTTAAACAGAAGACAAGAATATGGTGGACTTTAAATCCTCCATACTAGGTCATTTAAGTAAAGTTAGCAACCAATATACTCTTTGTGAAGATTGTGTTTTTTGGAACAAGATCCTGATAATCAAAAACAGCTATCTGTTCTAAAGTATTGTCACTGGGCATGTTATTTGTGACGTTCACTTTGCCCAAGCCTTTTTTGCTAGGCGTGCATTCACGTAAGTGGGGTTTAGTTCGGAGCTTTGAAACTGGCAACTTTAAATGCTTCGATTTCATCAAGAAGTTGCAGGCAATTCACGGAGTTTATAATCAGAAATAAATTAAAGATATTTCTTCACTAGGTGTTGAAGAAAAAAAATAGTTACAAACTCGCTGTAACAACAGGCATTTCGGATATCAGTGACCTGTGTTACTTCTTAAAAGTAAACCACTGATTATCCTCTACCAACTAAAGAATCGTACGTAATCAGTTAATTTGGATAGCGCATTCACATAAGGTGTGTTCTTCATCTATGTCCATCGCAGCAACCGCAGTAATACAGAAATTATCCTTGAAAATTTGGTCTATGCACACCAACCACTATTGACTCGTGAACAGTATCAATATGTCTTTCAACTCTATACATTTCATTGTTTATCTGTGGAAAAGTTCCAAATCATACGTTAATAATAAGTTTTATATTATTGTCACCTGTATGCTGTCTTTTCGTGTTGACTTACTAAATTTTAACACAGGGTGGCCGGCCACACCAATCACAAACTCTGACTTTTCTACTTTGACTAGGTAGACTGTAACAACATTCTAATGTCCCTCCCTTTTTTTAGAAGCGACATGTAAATTGCTTACACAGTAGCGTTTTGTTGTGTTTTGGTAAATTTTCTAAGCGAAACAGACTTGGGTTGTAGTTCATCAATTTGTAAGGTCTCCGGTGTAGGTTTCAAACCACACCAAGACAGATGTTCTGTGTTGCAACAAACCGATTAGGAAAGATAAAGTAGGCCTAAACATCCAAGGAGCTCAACTGTTTCTTGCGTCAATAAGTGAAAGAAATATTGCTGTACGTCAGAGGTATGTATAAATGAGAAAGGGTTAACATTGAAGGCACCGAAAGAAAATCACCGCGTAGGGAATAAATAGTAATCAAATTATTGAACTTACAAAATCGATTGATTTCAGATAACCCCATGCCTGGTATAAACATCTTGAATGCAACTAACATGCCCGTGCAGATTGATAAGAGAGCCCTTTAGGACAGTTTAATGAGCCGGCCGAGAATATGTGCAAAATAAGGTGACACAAAATGATGCAAAGAGAGTGTTGGTAAATAAAATCGTTGGAATGATGTACGCTCTTCCAGTTAACCTGGAGAAGCGATTCTCAGATGTATATTGGCAAGTTCAATGCGTATACAGGTGGTTATAAAAGTATGTAGAAAATTATTAGCTGCTTTTAAGATCGATGAAAGTTAACAGCAACTTGGTATTTTGTTTGCTAGCTTAAACGAGCCTTGGTTCGGAACCCCTCTAGCGGAGTCCTAGAGCCAGCTCCATACCGCGTAACTAAAAAGTAAGTTTTCCATCCTATGCTTACTGTACGACCTATAAATAATGTCTCAGATATATGCCACAGGTAGAAAAAGGCTTTGCACTTTCCTACAAGCCATTTACGGACAGAAGCAGCCTATGGAATGCTATATATGTTCCCTCAACCGGTGGAAACAGATAATTTATTCGAGAGCTGAGGTTAGCGAATGAGTATGAGTAGAGAAGTGGATCCATTTTCCAAAAAAAATCGTTGCTTTAATTTGGTTTAAAACCAAGTCATTTGAAAATGAAAACACCTTTGGACATTAATGCTTTTTTATTTACACATGATTAAAAAGCATCTCTAGGGATTGTCAAATTTATGCAGCTAGGGCTAAAATTAAATTTCTAAATTAGAGATGGCAACATCAATAAACGTTTAAGGATTTAACCTGAATGCTACCTGTTATTGAACGGAAGTTGTAGTCTTAAAAAAATGTTATTCGATGCAACCCACGCTTGAATCTGCAGTCAAGATCTCAGAAAAATGACGGACTTTAAAGTCAGTCAAAAGTTCCATGGATGTCGAGCGCGGGATAATGTTTATTAAATTCAAAAGCATTTAGATTTGGCTGAATAGCAGGACAAAAACGCGCGTTAATAAATCATTTGGAGATAGTGCGTAAATAAGAGCATTACAAGAGGTAGGTATTAGAATGGTAGGATTCCATGTGTAGGTATGGGTACGGGTCTAAAGATAACAGAATTTCGGGATCCTTGAGAAGTTAACGGAATCATCTCTTCTGGAACTTTTAGATCCCTCAAACGAACACGAAAAATTGCCGCAGAGCAGTCTTCCTTCATTGTTTTGGCCATTTTGTCTTTATGGGATTTTCTCCCTAGTCCCAATAAATTATCGAGCTTTTAAACCTGATTTCACAGACATTAGGTTTGAAGAATAATAAAGCTGGAATATGTCAAAATGTTGTTTGCAACTTTTAAATTAGCAAAAATTTAGGTTTGCCATCGAAGACCTATGCAGAAAATCCCAATTTAAGGGAATGGAAGAAACAAGTAAAGATCTTGGTGGCTAGCAAGAGGATGGAAAAGGACATTTAGCATTCAAAGCTATTTTGATTACCTTAAAAACAAGTGCCCAGTGGTTGTTAACTAATCAATTACTAAATGTTGAGTGGGTTTTCGCAACCCAAATTCACGACGCCACAAGACTTTTACCATGGCTAAGCGAGTTTCTTGACCATTGTTTTGCGACTAGCAAACTGAGGTATTAACATCTATCGTTAAAAATACATTCATAAGTTAATTGACATTTTAATCTCACATATGCAACAGCTGAAGTCTTGCTTGATTTTTAGTGTTTGGTTGCCCGATGACCTCAACAATTTGACAAAAAGCATTAATAGCCGAATTCGGATGGTGACGGGTCTGAGCATCGACCACGGTGAGGAACTGCAGGTTGCCAACTACGGATTGGGTGGGTACTACGCGCCCCATTTTGACTATGCCAGGGTAAGAAAATTTAATACTATCGCCTTTTTCACGGCTTCTTGTTCTTTAAATTGTCAACACGGACAACCAGTAACTGCTTTTCGATTTGCATTAATTCTGAATAAACATTGAAAACAGATGGATAAAGGGATCACTGATGGCCACAATGGAACCCTCGCATTCTATTTCAGCACATCAGAACACGAAAATTGCATTTTATCCACTTAAGTTCACCGTTAAGTTTTCCACAAATAATTATCTACTAATGATTGGTTTTAATTGGCTAGAAATGTTGCTTAATATCCAATAAAATGTCATTAGTTTTTGTAAACATGACACCTGAATTTTCAAATGTTGTCATCATATAGAAATCATTTGAATCCTAATTATGCATCTTTTGTTTATAAATTTGTTAAGTGCATCTGCCGCGAAATATTTGCCATTGTATAAAATAGTGACAAAACAAATGTCCAATTCATAACAAGAGGCTATCCTTTGTAAGCAATCAATTGCTTGCTGATAACTTAGAGCGTGTGTAAATTTTATCTTAAGTCACCCTTGAGATTCTGCGTTGAATACGCTGATGCTGGAAGTGGTGCTGCCCTTATTGCATTGGTTGAGTAACATTGGCAGCCTTAACAACCATGCGTTTTTTCCCTACAAAATATCTTTACCAGATGACTAATACATTTACCAACTTCTGTAAAATATGCAGTGCACTTACGGTTAATGTTATTGCAACTGTTTTTGGCTTTTTTGTCTTCCATTGTACTAATGCACAATATTTTTTTGAGAAAGGTGTGTATGGTTTCTTTCTGCACTTCTAAATTATATCCTAAACTTCCGTTCCCTACTTTCGACTTTTGCCATGTTAGTGGTTTTTATGGGGAAACTTTGCGAGAGTGATGTCGATTCCTGCTGGAAAAAAATTAGTCTGCTTACTCACCCGTCATATTCTGCATTTCATCAAGTCCGAGTAAGGCTGATTTTTCTGCGAATAGGCACGCGTTACTGCCAGGTGGCGAATTTCACGGCAAGATTGGTGCTTTTGGTTATGCTAATTTTGTTTAATTATGCTCAAGGAAGCACGGTTTTGTGATGTAACCGGCTCGATTAGGTAGATCAGATAACTTAAGTCTGGTAGTGCCTACTCTAAAAGGTGAAAAATACAAGGAAATATAAGGAAAAGTCAGCTTTAAAAGTTAAATCAACTTAGAAAGGTTCCAGATTAGAAATCGAAATCCCTCGACATTTTAAGCCTCTCGTTGAAAACAGCTAGTTGGGGAACAAGTTAGCTTGTTAAAAGGCAGCTACGTGGCTGTTAAAGTGTCCATCACGACCTTTCATTCTCAATTGTCAGCTTTCAACTGTAAATGAGATAGCTAATTCCATTCACGTTAAGGAATATCAGTTATTGAGAAAGTAATCGGTATCATTAAAGTCTCAAAGGGACAGATTGCTTTCTGACATTTGATCTTTGCATCGAAGACATTTTCTCTGAGTGTGCTGAAGGAATGTTTAGTACCCTCTAAACTTCTCACACAATATTTCGTTATACACATAGTTTCATCCATTTTTCCAAATTTAAAAATAGGGAAATCTGTTCTCCTGCATTTTATGCAGAAATAACACCATTGATTTATTGGAAACTGACGTAAACCAGGCAGCATTTATGAGTTTTTGCGAAATGGGAAAACAGATAACAGCTTATGTTTAATCCCTGAAACAACTTAACCCACTGATAAAAAAGTGTTCGCTTCTATCAGGTTAAATCTCTTCACTCGACTAGATATGCCCTGTTGGAAATTCGGCAGGTCAAAATCGTAATGACCAGTCCTCTGATGCCCCCATGCATGCGCGAACGTAGGTAGCCATAATAAATTGACCTCAATGATGATGCACTTCGTGAGATATAAAAAAACTACACTGAAAGTGAATAGCAAGGTAGTGAATATCCGCCAATACTTTGCAGTTCCAGATTAACGATCGGGAGATGAACATAAAACCAATCTTGAATACTATAGGCCACTGTCGGGGGATTGGTTATTCTACTCTGTCCCTCTTTACATAGGTTTTGGCAATTTTTTTTCGATTGAGTCCCTTGTGGTTATATTATACCTCAATAACCAGCCTGATTGAAAAATCAAATTTATGCAACTATCTGCCTTAACACCTAAAATGCTGGTGTTTTCTGTAGTGTTAATGCATCATTCTGCCGCGTAATTGGACCCTTTACTTTGCATCCTGCTTGTGAAGATTAAAGCACCTCTAAGACTCGCACCTCTAGATGACCATTCAAGCAGTAGAATCATGGAAACACGTTCCAATCCTGCTTACTGACGTTTACGCATCGATGTTCATGTCCCCAAGTCTATGTTACCTCGGTTCTTGACCTGAGGTTAATTCCCTCCACTGTACACCCAGGGTAGTAAAACCGGCCCAATTTTATTGAATGCTCTCAGCAGTATGCAGTTATTCTGGAATCTGCTTGATTTATTTTACCATTCACAACTTAACGAAACTACAAGAAAACCGCCAAATATCTTTTTTTATTCAAAGCACTTTAAATTAAAACGTTCGTGATGTTTCGACGGAACCAGAAGTAATGCGAAATTGCTATTGGGAATGGATCAGACGCGTGTCTCCTTTTAAGTAGAAATTTAGCCATGTAAACTTAAATGAATGTTTGACAAACAAACAGAATTTTCGAGAATTTCATGTTCATACGATATGACAAGTACACGCCTTGCATGGAAAGACGTGCACATGTCAGCCAAAACTTCATTTTTACAGTTTGATACTGGGTATCGGAAAAGTAGGTCAGACCAACTTCCCCAATACTTCGAACGCAAAGTGCTTTGTAGCTGTCAAAATTGAAGCAGTCAAGACGACGACTGCTCTGCGGTGTGTTTGGGGGCGCATACAGAGGGGTAACGCATTTGTGAACGCTAAACTCCCAAGCGCATATTCAGTCACATGTGAACGCTCTCACTGCCTCCGTGCTTAATGACATTCCCTCCTGCGGAACGTACCAATCAAGAACTGACCTTGTGAGCATCATTTTTGCTCAGGCCTGGGTATAGGTAAATTTAGACCAAAGTCCGTTTGAGTATTGGGCAAAATGCTAGCGGTCAGTACGCATATTCTGCAAGTAGTTAGCAGAAATGCTACACAATTCGGTAAGGCATGACTTTACTGGTTATTGACGGTTATGGATAGTTTAATCCACTGTTTTTCACTCTCCATTTAAATAAAACAGACTAGTGTGCAAATTTGTCCGCGTGTGTCAATTACTAGTGGCGCAAATTTTAATTCAATTTGGTGTTTTCCGCACAAAATATCGCTGTTTACAATAACCCATACCACTTTACCTTTTTTGTGTCTCTCATTAAGACGATTTTGTGACTTCAAACAAATGTATCATTCTTAACACCTCTTTGAGTCAATATCCTTGCGCAATGTTAACCCTTTATCGGTAATAGCAATTGGAGAGAGGAGCAAGCCTGTGATGCGATTAATGTTTGGATATTCCTATTAACCCAAGATTTATGTAGTTATAACTATGGGTGATAGTTGCACTCCTTGTATGCCATGGCAGCAAAGTTTGCGGCATTTTCAGCACCTCACATGTTCCGCCTTACCACATTTTAGCGCTTCGAAGTTGACGCCTACGAGCGAAATCATGGGAACCGTATTGCGACGTTTATGGTTTACGTAAGTAACCCATTTTGTGGTCTTTCAAATCTGATTGCCAAATCAAGGCGCATCCAGGTGAACTGACGTCCGAACTCAGTTAATACTCCGATACAGTGGCTAAACTGAAATTCTAAGGTACATTTCCTGTCACAAATCACTGTCCAGTGGTTCCATCTTGGTATTGAACATTTGAAGTTTTTTGTTCAATTTAACAAAGATTAGTTGACAGTAACCACTATTCCTCAAGTCTGCAGTTTCAGTGAACATTCTTGAAGTGAGCAAAATTACTGGGTGGGAGCTTGAACATCATGACTCAAATATTCCCATGAAAGTCCCACTGTGCCACATAATTGTTAGTTTTTTTGACATCAACAACAACACGTATAGGAGAGAACGTTGTTACAAGCGACAGCTGTTATTCGACTTTTTGAGGGCTTGAACTTCTCCCTGTAGTTTGTGCTGTGTGTGAGCGGACTGAAGCTCAGGCAGTTGGATCTGTGGTCCATAAATTACTCTGAAATGCGTATTATTTTAAACAATTGCTGTTGGTACCATTATTGACGGTATCGTTGGAACAGTATTACATTTCGTTAATTCTTCCTCTTGGATCTAGCTAACCCCGGTCCAGCTCGGTGGAGCAACTGTCTTTACAAAGATAGGAGCGATAGTCAAACCGGTCGCCCGATCGGCTGTCTTTTGGTACAACCTCCTGCGAAGTGGTGATGGGGACCTGCGATCACGCCACGGGGCCTGCCCAGTGCTTGTTGGAAGCAAGTGGGTCATGAATAAGTGGATTCGTGACAGTGGTCAGGAGTTGAAGCGACCCTGTCTCCTCGAGCAGGAGCCATTCGATCCTTTGGACGAATACAACGACATCTGACTGTGTCCGACATCACCGGTGTCTTGGTGGTATTTTATTGTACCAAATTCATGAGATATCTATCTACTAATTAAATTCCTGTTAATGAACTATTTTAAGCGATGGCACCGACCAGGTGTTGAATATTTGAAATTCAAAGTGGGCTTCCTATTCGACTGCTTCCAGGATTGTACTGTATAATGTAATGAACTCTCATCTTGGGTTTCTTGTCATAAATCACACTTATCAGCAAAATTGTGCCACGTTAATTTGCGTTACGACAATAAGTTCGTTGAGACAACCCACGCACCGAGCTTGGGAAGCTGGTTTCTCCGAGAAAAGGGCAGTCGTATGACAAACTGGTTTTTTGAGCCAATTTGATTTCAGAAGTGAGATGGTTTCACTTAACAGGGCAAATGCCTGCTTAATGGTACAGTTCATTGACACCATAATTTAAGTGGACTTGACAAACTGTTATAATATCCTGAGTCAATCAATTTAACATCCTACGATGTTTTACACATCTTTTTAGCATATTTGCGTGATGGAAACTTGTCCATGAGAGGGTAACTGGTAACTTTAAAGACTGAGATTCGAAGATTTTGCTGCTAAACTTATGAAAACCTAGTCATTTAGCTTGATTCTTGAAGTAAGTACATAAGCTTAGTGTACATAAAATAGTTTGGGCAAGCCGATCTTTACAGACGTTTTAAAAAGCCAACTGAGCACATGTTGTAAATCCATTCTTTGAGTATAATGTTTGGTGGTCAAACACCTTTGGGGATTTGTGAACGATGGTTCTGAAAGACGACTTTTTCTTGGGTTCAGATGTCCGAAGGTCAAAGAATGAAAGTGACTTTTAACTGGTAGTTCTGAATGCTGTTTTGGCTGCTAATTGCAACCAAATCTTGAGATATTTTCTTGGTAGTTTACACCTGATGTAGGGTTCCAAATCACTTTATACAAGTTATTTTCCTCGCACACACTAATGAGAACACCAAGTCGACGACTTAGCGACTCCCATTTCTTGTTGTTGGGAGGCCGAATTTTGTGTTTGGCGAGATTAGTTGTATACAGTTTTCCTTTTATTAATGAGTTTCGAGTGTCAGAAATATGTTTTGCTTGTCAATGCCTTAAACTCACCAAGTCCCCGGTCATCCTTCAAAAAATTAAAAAGTTACAGGCTGTTCGCTTTCTCTACTGATATTCCCACTTGGGGTGGTGGCCGGTGGCCCCCAAGCAACACTTAATAGCATAACTTTAAAAGTTGTAGCATCCGAAAACCAGGGCACTCCTGTCAGTTGTGAGAAAATATCTGGCATCTGCGTCTATCTTGATTTGGGGGAAAATATTTTGGTGATAGAATTTCCTTTGCCTATTCCGTAATGCCCTGTAAAGCATGAGATGGAAATGCTTTCCCGGCATAGCTGTACATTTAATCAGGCTACCATTTCCTAGGTCGTTGCAGGTTTATGCTAATTACTATAGTTGTGTTTAAATCTTTCGAAACCAAATTTAAAGACGTTATGGCAATTATTGCCTAAACAAGGCGATTGACTAAGAAGGTTCATGATGGAGGAGGCGACTATCAAAATTGTAGGATTTCTTCGTGCATTCGGGGTTCAATAACTTGAAATTGGCTTGACGAATCTTCCCACTAACAAACATGAGATAATGACCATGCAAATGCCTACAGACATGAAACACAAAGGGTCCTTAGTGCGGTCAGTGTATTACTCAGCGGGTTTAAACCCGATAGACAGTTGTAGCCACAAACTATTTGCGGCAACCTTCTGTCTGGCGAATTTTGCGCAAGCTACGTATGCTTAACATTAATTAGTAGGGCACGTTTCTACGGCTGATTCATCAAAGGCTTTGTGTGAATAAATTTTGACTTGAACGCAAGTGAGGGGTCGCACTGCTGTTTTTATTGGTGATCAAATTACACAGAATTTTACTACCATAACAGCAGGTTAAGGTAACTAACATAGCTGATAAAGCAGCTTCTTAGGTTGACAGATTTTTGAAAAAACCAAATTAGTTCCAGTACTAAGGGCCAGTAGGGGAATGGGTTTTTTAAATGTATCGAATTTCAATTTGAGGTGGAATTAGCAAGCCATGCACTTTACAGGCTAACACATTAAGCTAGTAAAGTAGAGAGATCCAACTTGGACAAAATATTCATACAATTGCGTGATACGGCCTACTGATTTCTCTGCAAATAACATTACTTTGGTGCAAAAAATCTTATTTAAAACTGGGCATTGATGGCAGATGCTAACTTTGTACCCTAGAAAACGGGAATTACTCCATTGTGTTACTTTTACATTTAAATGACTGTTCTAGAGGAAAAGATACCTTTTGCGAAAAAGAATCTACTCAGCATAAAAAACTAGCATTTAGTGCTCCCTGAAGAAAAATATAATTGTGTGTTCAATCATGTCCGCCGCGTTGTGCGATTGTTTTGGTTTCTGTGTGAGTAAAACTTAGAATTTGTGCATTCTGTGAGCAGAGCCCCCTAGAGATGCTAACCTAGATTAAGTATACACATGCTTTTGTTGCGCTTGACCAATTCGATTTCTGTGAATTAATCTATAAGTATAAGAGGCTTCACGAGTACTGGGCAATCTTAGGATACAGTTAAAATGAATCATGTTGATTCACGTCGAATAACCCGGTCGCCGCAGCCTCACACACACGTCCCCCTCTTCTCGGCGTGCCCATCAGTTACTGGGACCGCCCGCTCATTAACCTCTTTGTACGTGCCACCACCACCGGCTCTATCCATGTGACCTTTCAGACGCCTGTATTTTTACTAGTCCACTCAACTGTACCAGTCAACACAACACCTCGTTGAGCTGTCTAGTAAACGGCTGTGCCTCGTCCTCCCCAGTTTTCCTCATCTTAGTGGGTACTCAGGGTAGCGTAATCGGCTTAGATTGACGCAGTGGCCCCAGCGTGGCTCAAAATAACCTGCCTGTGCCCTCAACATAAACTTGTTTTCATAAACGAGTTATGCGAGGATGCAGCTAAAAACTCACCTTGACAACATACGGAATAAGTGTTTTTATGGGCTAAGATGCATCATTATTATCATCATCACCATTTAGGTGAACAGCGTCAGCGCGTGCAGCGCTTCCAGAAGAGCCACGCAAAGCCTACGTGGCAGTGGCTCAACTTAGTTAATGACCTGCCAAATCATTAATCTACTAGGCCTAAATGTGCATGCCTTCTTTGTGAAATTATTAGGGAGTGGTTTGGGCCAAAAAATTACCTTATCTGCGTTAAATTACGAAGCCTCCAAAATGTTCCCATCGTGAGAGTAGGTAGTTTGCCAGACTAATACAACTCGGTGTGACTATCAGCCTCTGTATCATTTATTTGGTTTTAACAAAGTTGATTTCTTAACTGTTTAATATTCGTTCCAGGTTTTTTTCTTTGCATTTGAATAGCGCTAAGTAAATACCCCATTTGGCTTTGTCGCATTGACTTGCGGTGGAACAGGAAACTGAATTTGTACATTCTTGTCATCTAAATCAGCGATTTTAATTTTTTTACCTTTAAAGAAGTCCAAGATTAAGCCTTCCTTGAGCGGGTTTATGCAGTTTTTGAAACACTGTCAAAAAATTTATCTGCAACTTATGGCGGCGATTTTTTCTGTATTTTACAAAATGTGTGTTACAATGTTCTTATTTGGTTTGCAAATCAGTTAATGAAAGGAATACTACATAAATCAGTGAGTGGATATAAAAATTGCAAACAAGCCTTATTAACTGGTGAATCGTACTATGAATGTAGTTTTATTTATTAATTTTTGAACACTTTGTCAATGAAATTCCTGATTTTACTTTTATAATGGTTCTCCATCGTGATTTTTCAGGTGCGTCTAATCGATTATTTGTAATATGTATTTTAAAAGTACTGAGACAAGACATGTTAAGATAACCAAGCCTAAAATATGTATTAAGGGATACTGGTTGCAAATTCTATTCTGTACTCACGAAACTCCTTCAGTCATGCACGCTTTCTTGGATGATTCTCTTCCCACACTGCTTAGACATTTCTTACGCAAAAAGAAATGAAAACCAACAAGTTAACGCAAGTAATTCGAGTACCAAACCACTGCTTTGGCTTTTCACTATCACAATAGCCCTCATTAAAAGGTACTGTGAGCAATGTCTTAACAAAAATGCTCGACTTGTTGAAGTGTTGACTTTGATGTCTACTTTTGTTTCTCGAAAACCTTGACTAACCCGCTAACCGCCTTGGCTTCCTGTGAATTGCCGCTTAACCTCACAGGACCAGCCTGTCGAATTGGCGCGATGTTTATGGCTGCAACGCACGGGCCTGTGTTAATGCGTGGCACAATCTCCAAGCAAGGGGTTCGTTCGCGGGGCATTTCAGGAATGATTCAGCAAAATTCGCTATTCCAAATTTATGTCAAAGCTGCGAATGACATTTCGGTATTTGATTATAATTTTGTTTTATCATCCAGCACAAATCCGTTTACTGGCACTAAAGCACCTAATTTTTAGATTGGTCTGCTAAACAAAGGCTTAAGCAATTATCGACACAGCTTATTAACCGATGATGCCCTTGATACTTTGCTCGCGTAGACGGTAATAACTTCATGAGCACACACAACCTGAAGCATGTCAACTAACCGAAATTCCCCATAAGTAAAGCTCGTTCTAGTTAGATAAGGTCTTGGTTCAAATTTACAAAGTGTATTAAGGGAATCATCGTTTAACCGCACATAACTCACACAGAAACCCTAAATAAGGCAATAAATTAAGGGAGAGTTGCCTCACGAGGTTTATTCTGGCTCTCTCTCTCTCCGAACGTTCATTGGCTCCAAGCCTCACTACGAAAAAACCCCGATGCACATGCCGACACTGTGTGGAGCACTGGGCCAAGAAGTGACGGTAAGTGCTTAAGGATGAGGAAAAGCAGGTTTTGTTTGTTGTGCTAGGTGACAGTGACGGAGACAAGTTGATGATTGATACCAGATCCACTGAAAA